GTTAATTCATTATGTCCTAGAAATTAAAAGATTTTATTGCTAATTAGGAATAGGCTGTTGTTTACCTCATGGTGTACTTCCACACTATTCTAAAAATGTATCCTTTATTCTGTAGCCTCCTGACATCAATTCCTGAAAATATTCTTAACGTAAAAGGAAATATGGTTTTACTGAATGTTAATGTATTTTTTAATGTATTTAAATGCATTTTATACCGGAGTCCTTTGTTTTTCCTGCATTGTTATATGGCCAACAATTCCAAAATTTCAAAATCTACTTTTCAAAAATCTTTAAGAACAAAATAATATTACACTAAGAGCGTCCTTCCAAACTCTACAAATAATCACTAAGAGATCCCTCAAAACTCTACAAATAATCACTAGGAGATCCTTCAAATCTCTACAAATAATCATTAGGAGATCTTTCAAAACTCTACAAATAATCACTAGGAGATCCTTCAAAACTCTTCAAATAATCACTAGGAGATCCTTCAAAACTCTTCAAATAATCACTAGGAGATCCTTCAAAACTCTACAAATAATCACTAGGAGATCCTTCAAACCTTTACAAATAACCATTAGGAGATCCTTTAAATTTCTACAAATTAATAATCAAATAATCGCTAGGAGATCCTTCAAAACTCCACAAATAATCACTAAGAGCGTACTTTAAAACTCTACAAATTAATAATAAACAAATAATCACTAGGAGATCCTTCAAAACTCTATACAAATTGATAATCAAATAACCACTAGGAGATTCTTTAAATCTCTACAAATAACAATCAAATAATCGCTAGGAGATCCTTCAAAACTCTACAAATAATCACTAGGAGCGTCCTTTAAAACTCTACAAATAATCACTAGGAGATCTTTCAAAACTCTACAAATAATCACTAGGACTTCCTTCAAAACTCTACAAATAATCACTAGGAGATCCTTCAAATCTCTACAAGTATACATTAGGAGATCCTTCAAAATCTACAAATAATCACTAGGATATCCATCAAATTCTACAAAAAAATCGCTAGGAGATCTTCAAAACTCTACAAATTGATAATCAAATAATCACTAGGAGATCCTTTAAAATCTACAAATAATCGCTAGGAGATCGTTCAAAACTCTACAAATTAATAATCAAATAATCACTAGGAGATCCTTCAAAATCTATGAATAATCGCTAGGAGATCGTTCGAAACTCTACAAATGAATAATCAAATAATCACTAGGATATCCTTCAAAATCTACATATAATTGCTAGGAGATCCTTCAAAACTCTACAAATAATCACTAGGAGATCCTTCAAAATCTACAAATAATCACTAGGAGATCCTTCAAAATTTATAAATAATCGCTAGGAGATCCTTCAACACACAAATTAATAATCAAATAATCACTAGTAGATCCTTCAAAGTCTACAAATAATCGCTAGGAGATCCTTCAAAACTCTACTAATGAATAATCAAATAGTCACTAGGATATCCTTCAAAATCTACAAATAATTGCTAGGAGATCCGTCAAAACTCTACAAATGAATAATCAAATAATCACTAGGAGATCCTTCAAAATCTACAAATAATAGCTAGGAGATCCTTCAAAACTCTACAAATATCCTTTTTCTACTTGAATTTTTCTTTGTACTCTTTCTTGTGAAAATACATGTACTTTAAAATGCTCATATATTTTTGCAGCCAATTTGATTATTTGCATCAACTAAGCTTGTTCATTTTGTTTACTTTTTCAATTTAAAGACTTAAACACTGTACGCTGAAGAGTTCCAATTCAGTAGTAGTTTTATTTAGTTATCTGCCCTTATACGCATGTTTAAATGATAAGAAAGAACTGCGAACGATTATAGTATTGTTCCGCCGTTCGCCTACGAATTAAATTTCAAAAATTAAATATTTTTCATATTTATATAGGAATTCATATGACCACAAAATATAAATTTATTTAGGGAAACATGAGAAATATAATTTCGGTAAAAAAAAAAATTGTTTTTTACCATTATAAAAATCAATGGAAAAAGGAAAATATTTTTCAAACATCTCCCTCACTCCCATAAAACAAAAATCATTTTCACAGGTATTATGAATTGTTATTCAACAAATTCATACCAAAGGATTTTTTTACGAGGGGGTGGGGGTGGGGGGTGGGGGGGTATGTTTTCAGGCAAAAACATGGCGAAAATTCATTTAATTACCAATTTCAATTGAGATTACGGATAAAAAAAAATTTTCTTAATCAATCGTATATGTTTTATTTTATATAAGTTAAACTTACGAAAAGATTTAAGGGTCATTAATTCATATCCAGTATTTTAAAAGCTGGTGGTACGGATAAAAATTTTTCCCCCCTTATTAAAAGAGTTGTTATTGACAGCAATTAACTATTTGACAGTGGTATTGAAATTATTCATCAATTACAAATAAACTCTACTTTGTACTCAAAAAAGTTTGAATGGCTAAATTATCATTAACCTTGAGAGTGTCTAAAGTAGGCGGGAATCGAGAATTAGCGTGCATGGTTCTTTAAAGTGAATGGAAAGTATTCTCAACATTATATAGGCCAAGATGATGTCATTCAATACATTATTTGCATGTATTTTCCCAACAAAAGTAAAATAAGAGAATGAGTCATGTTTATTTATTAATACTTTCTTGTCATTGAATGTATTTCCTGGGGAAATATGGCAGATACCCTTTGTTGAAAACCAAAGTAGACGAACTCAGTGTATACCTCTCTAAATTAAATAATTTTCTCAAAGTTCAAAGATATTTTTATTAGAGTTTAGAATATCCTTAAAAAACAAAAATTACTTTACTTACAGCATAAAAAAACTTCGCGCAAATATAGAATTTGTTTTGTTGATTTAAATGCTATAAATATATTACAGGAACCTGCAAAGAAATAAGAGTAAACTAGATGAAATCCCGCGCAAGCGCGGGGAATTGAATTTATACCACTACCGACAAAAAATATATTGTAGTTTCTACTGACAGCCTAGAGGGTTATAGCAGGAAGAAATACTTTGTTCAAAATCCCGCATGTGCGTCTCCCCCCCCCCCCCCCCCCCATCCCACCCCATTTTGTAAAAACTTGAAAAAATTAAAATTTCAATAATTGATGTTTATTGTGAAACCTGTCATACTATGTTATGGATATACTGTATGCTCTTATTTCATTTCCGTCAAGGATAAATTAAAAGCAGCGAATATGCACATTTGGGGGGGGGGGGGGGTAAAATCCACAGGTACTTGTGTCTTGGTTTATAAATATGTATGTACCTTATGTTGATATGTAAAAATGTACTTTACCTTTTTTACATATCAATAGGGTTCATACATACGTGTATATATAAATCAAGACGCAAGTATCTGTGTGAAAATTAGCTCAGTTTTAACAGTTTAACGCCCTATGAATAGGCAGAGTATTTGATACAAAAGAATGTAGTCCAAAAAAAAAAAAAAAAAAAAAAAAAAACTGAAATGTATTGATTAAAACACAAAATTTTACAGCTTTAATTGTATTTTAACAATATCTTATTCATTAATTTTCTCTTTTCATGTAAGCAGTGAGGAATATATACACATTTTACCGATAAATTTATTAGGAAAACCTACTACATATATGTAATAGTCTTTCGATATATAAATATATTCACAACTTATAGTGTTATCAATGATTTACCAATATTTCAATGACCATTCACACATAAGGTTTTCCTATGTTCCTACAGCTATAATTGTCTCGTGTTTCTTTTTTAACATCGGGCTCGATGCTACATGATGTTCTAGAAGCTTCCGCCAATATTAAGATCGGTGAATGACAAAAATAATTTCCAAATTTCCCTTTTTAATCGGTTATCACAACTTATTTCTTTTATGTCATTTAAATCAAGTTTTGATTGAATAATTCAGTGATGACGCTTTATGAAATAAATAATTGCTGTCAGTTTCATTGAAAATTGACAGAAGCTGAGATCCGCCAACCGGAAACGCCACCGTACTCACGTTTTTGCTATTTCATGGCTGTTTATAGAAAATAAAAGTAGACTTTTAATTTAATGTACGATACTTACAATGCGAGTGAAATCTAAATATAGTTTACGGACATCATATTGTATCTAGTGTATTCTCAGAGGAGTAAGTAAAAACTCTGGTACATCCGTTTCGGAGTTTATTTGCAAAATTTATTAATTTATAAGTATAGATGGATACCAGGTGATATTGCTGGAATCACATGTAGAATTTCGAAATATTTAACATTAGATCCGCTCCCGTAATCTCATCTTTTCGCGCATGATCATTAAATGCAGAAGTTGCCAAGAAGTAGAGAAGACATTGTATTCATTTAAGAAAAGGTAATGGTTTGAAACCAACATCAATAAAGTAATGATTTTTTGCGTACTTATGTGTCCTCAGAATAGAAGGGATAAAAGAAGCATAGGAACGTTTTACCGAGTTTCCATGACCTAGATCCGCTTACGGCAGATATTGTGCAGTAATGTCTCGCCTCTTTTGAGGTAATAATCTGCAGTAATTTCAATGAACGGATTTTAATATTTTCCATATTCAAAGACTTTTTAATCCCTACTCAAAATATTTAGCACCCTCTACTACGCTGACTCTTTGGTCCGGTTTAAATACCCAACAAAAAAGTAATGACTCAATTAATTCGTGGAGCTTTTGTACTGGCAAAAAAAATGTACTTAAGTTCTAATGCATAGATAATATTTGTTTGTGACACATGTAAAATTAATGAATCAAAATCTCTTCTTTGCTTGTGTACATTGACAACAGTATATTTTTTTTCTTTTCGAATATTATGCGCAGCTACGACGAATTTAGAAATTCTTGAAAGTTTTGGAGAGTGGAAGTGTGTGCAGTGAAATGATTTTGATGTATTCTGAACCCAGGATTTAAAATCTGTGTTGAAGACGGTTTATCAAGGAAGATGGATGTGTGTTCAGAGTAATTGCGATGTTTTTTCCCGCTCAAACTGTCCCCAGATGACTTGAAAATTCATCATGGGGTGTACATCAAGTATGTCGAGAAAAAACTCGTCAGCGACTTCCTTCCGGCTGATTTTGGTCGGTTTGGACGGGGCAGGTATATACAAATAATTACCTATAGCTATGTACAAATGTTATGTATATGTGCCTATATGCAAACAAACGAAGGTATATGTATGAATGAAAGGTGTCTGGTTTCCTCATATTATTTTCTTCTTTAATTGTTTCGTAGGGTTTATATTTTGAGTTAGGTTTACTACTCTTCTTCAACAAACTAACTGTAATTCATTGTAAATTTACACTTCTACGGGGGTGGGGATCCGAACATCCTCTGGAAAACACGAACCCCAGGTAAAAATGTTTCTGAGAATCATATACATGTATATACATTTTGTCTATGAAGGAAGGACACTCGTCCTTTCCTCCGTTACCCAATCCCACCCTCCATCCCCTTAACCCGAGAGATTTTTCAGATTGGACAAATTATTAGATTTTTTCAGATTTGACAATTTTATCTATTTATTTATTCATTTTTTTTTTGGGGGGGGGGGGTCAGAAAATTTTCAAATTGGATATTTTTTTTTATTTGAGTGGGTATGAAACACCCACCCTAGAAAATATCCTATAGATTTAGCTGCATATATAGTATTTTTAGCTTTATCAATGGTTCTGAATACCTACATGTAGGTCTATTTAAATTTTTCTCTCAATTTTACAGGAAAATCCTCCCTGCTGTACAAATTGTCCATCGGAGACTTTGTGGAGACAAAACCGACAATGGGTTTTAATGTGGAGACAATTAATTACAATAATCATACGATCACTCTGTGGGATATGGGAGGAAAACCTAGTATACGCAAACTATGGAAGCATTATTATCTCAACTGTCATGGTAAGTGTATATCTAAAAAAAAATGTGTACGTGTATCATAAACTATAATTCTACTGTCAACAGGCCCTATATTGCCGCAGTAGGCGTCAATATAAGAAAAAATATCATAAACAGATAAAGGTCGCAGCACTACCACTGTAAGTATCATGAAAAATCCGTATCATAAACTTTTCAATTATCTGTCAGGAGCTTCTAAACTCCCAAAATAGGGGGTAAGAAAGTTTCGAACTGATAAGAGGCCTTCAATTGTAAAACATCCTCGTCTTAAACCATTTGAATTGTGTTTATATATCCAGTGTGTTATGTTTTTATTTATCACGAAACCTTTAATTACAGGATAACTGTCAAGTATCACAACATTTAAAATATTCAAGAATCTCTATTGCCACTGTACATAACGTTTAGAAGTGTTCTATTTATTTATTGCTAAGGCATACCCTCATCGTTACTAGTGAATCCAATAAAAATGTTATACAGTGTATAACGGAACATACCATTTCAAGGAAACAAACAACTTCGGATTTCTCACCAAAATCAAATATAATATTTTTTTTTCAATTGGTATCTAACACTAATACATGTATAACTTTAGCAAGAATTTTTTTTAATCTCATATACAGTGTACAGCGAATATACTAGTATACCAAAACTAATATCAGTAGGGAATTTCAGAGCCAGAATAAATATTGCGTAATACATGTATAATCAACATATTCACACATGTCCTGCTTGAGATGAAATACATGTAGTTACATATAGTAGAAGACGGGGCTAATCCCACAGTAAACTTTTGACTGCAAGTGTCTACATTTATAAGACCCATACATGAACTTAATCCTCTTTGCCTTTTTCCAACCAATGTTTTGTCATTTTAAAACTCAGCGTAATTACAACAAATGTTTATAATCCTGAAATATTTTCATTATTGTTTCTTATACTCTGTGACTAGATCTTTTCCATTTTCATCAGAGTCTGTTAAATCAACTAATTAATTGATTCCCGAAGAAAGTTTGGCTAAATCCCTGTTATCTCGCTCCATCCGTCCGTCTGTATCACTATATCGTCTTCTCAGAGTCTTCTTAAATTTAAGTGTCAGCGAATTCATCTTTTGGAATAGAATTGGTAGTGTCCTGTTGATATGCAATAAGAGTTATGAATTCTCAGTATTTTACCCTATAGAGGCTAATTGGGGTCGAAAAATGTCGTGTCCTGTAGATGAGTAAATAGGTTTCAGAATTTTCATTTTCGTCTCAGGGGCCACTTTGGGGTTGAAAAACGACGTTTTTCTGCAAACTAAAACATGTACCTATATCACATTTTAAGCGGTAGTTAAATCATATTTTGCAATTTTGTTGGCGGTGCCATATAAATGTGCAGCTAAATTCAAATTCTATTTCATTAATAAGTAGCAACATTTGCGGAGCAGTCAATCAAACTTTTTAAGAGCTTCAAAATCTCATTTATGAAGGCAAATTCATATATACCTTCGTTAAATGAAGGGAATAACTTTTTTTTAATTTCAGAGGAAAATGATACATTCATATTTTTATATTTATATATATTTTATATATTTCAATTGTTATAGGGATGCTTTTTGTCATTGATGGATCCGCTCGCGATCGTCTTCAGGACGCAGACGACCTTCTGACGTCACTACTGCTGGAGAAAGAATTACTTGGTGTTCCGATGGTATTTCTGGCAAACAAAAAGGATATCGAAGGTAGAAAATATATTAAAATAGGATTAATTAATTCCTAGCTCTCTGATTGGCTGAGATCCAAAATTGTAGAAACTATACTAAGTTAATTATGCTCACCTGCATAAGACCTTCTATGTGAAAATATCATTATTTTTTCCTCATTTGACCAAATATAGATCGAGAACTTCCAATTAGTACAAATAATTATGAACCTTCATGTTCACCTTGTACCCAACTTTCCAGGTGAACATAACACTTACTTCTTTCTACATTGAACCAAACTTCTTTAATGATACAATTTGTTAAAAAGTTTTTTTTCACCTGCACCTGAGTCTCAGATAAACATAAGATTTGTTTGTTTTCTACAACAGACCAAAAATAAAGTAAGAAATTCCAAATTAATATTTTTTTATTATTTTACTCCGGTTCCTCTGACTTCTAGGGGTTCAACAATTGTAAATAATCAAAAACGATGGCAAGGTTTGCTTGACGAGTTTGTATCATTTAATCACATAATAAAACAATTATAGATAAAATTTGTAAACAGTTTTGTCCCTTTGTCTATTGATGCATTTTATAGAAGAATATAGGTCCCGTTTACCTCCAAAATTGTAATGGTTTAAATTTAAAAAAATAATTTCAGAAAATTAAATAGTAAAATGTTCCTTATTTACATGCTGTAAATAGTAAGTTTGAAAATCTCAGGTCCCATATATCAATATTGAAATTACATTGTATGTCTAAAATGTTTTCCGACATCATACATGTATATTTGTTCATATAAAATGAAATATGTTTAATTTTAAATCTTTAATCAAGTTCATAAGATATTAAAGAGGAAAACATCAATATTATAGAGGGAAATATTAATAGATATTAAAGAGGGAGATATTAATAGATATTATAGAGGGAAATATCAGTAGATATTACAGAGGGAAACATCAATAGGTATTATAGAGGGGGATATCAATAGGTATTATAGAGGGGGATATCAGTAGGTATTATAGAGGGGGATATCAATAGGTATTATACAGGGAGATATCAATAGGTATTATACAGGGAGATATCAATAGATATTATGTATGGAGATATCAATGGATATTTTTCTTTTTAGGAGCATTATCGGAAAGTGACGTGATAGAATATTTCTCATTGAACCAAATTTCCAGCAGGCTGTGTACAGTTCAAGGCACGAGTGCATTAACTGGGGAAGGAATTTATAAAGCATTGGATAACATGATCAGTTTTAGAAGACATATTGATAGAATGCAGGCCTGACGTAGAATGAAATCCACACAGTTCATTCATGTGGATTCAGAGTCACCGAACCAAGTTATAAAATGTCCAAACCTTCAGTGCATGCTACATTGAAGAGAAGACATTGCGGTGGAAGAACGTATTATTGGAGGGATTTTATAATGTGTTCTTGTGCCTAAAACAAATTCTAACTATCATGAGTCAGTCCATGATAAAAACAGAGAAAATGAATTGAGCTTGTTTAAACTTGTTCATTTGCTTTTTATCATTATCATGTTATGAATTTATGAATTAAAGAAATTCACTTGCAAACTCAAGCGTTAACATATTAACATTAATATACCTCTTGCCAATGAAATCCACAAATCAAAGCATTATAACAGGTTACATGAAAAGTCATTCAAGATCAATCCTAACAAAAATTAACTATTAAATAGTTAACTATAGTTTACCAAAGTTAACTATAGTAAATATTTTGATACTTTAACTATGAAACTTTATTGTGTAATTTTATTATTAATTTTTCTAAGATTAAAATTTCTAAAACTCCATAATAATGACTTTAAAATTGGTAAATGATATGTTAGAATACAAGAAATATTTCCATTTAATATAAAAAAATAAGCATGAATGAATTTTAGAACATGAAACAACAATCTGAAGTACATAGTTAAAATACTTTGATTCACTATAGTGAAAACTTTGATTTACATAGGAAAAACTTTGATACTATTGTATACTATAGTTAACAATAGTAAACGATAATTAACTAGAGTATATTTTTGTTAGTGGTCAATAAAAAAATGACTAGACACATATTTATCAACCTGCACTAAAAATACAGGCAATGAAAATAGATTTCTATGTCTCAGCATATGTCTTTAGATAGTGTCTAAATACCTGCCAAATATTTCATTGATATCTCAAGACACAAAAAGTTATTCCCAAAAATGATGATAAAAATGTCAGGAGTGCAACACCTTTTTGTGACATTTTTAAAATTCAATATTTTATGAAGATCTGTGAAATAGATAATATTGGTTTAATTCGGAAATAAAGACTTTCCTGATAATATTCAAAGTATTGAGCTTTAAATGTAGACTGTAGCAACTTTTCTTTGACCAAGTTGTGGCCATGGCTGATGCTGAAAAAAAATGTTATACCCTGTCAGGAGTGCAACAGAAAAAAATATAGTGTTGCAAAAAACATTGACTTTTAAAATCTGTATGACAATTAAGTCAAAAAAGAATTTTCAAAGTGCAAAACAATAACTGATATACCATTCGAAATTTAAAAATTACTGTTATTTAAATCACAAACAGCATTAATGAAAGTCAAGTATCTGTGCATATACAATTATGTCAGGAGTGCAACATTTGATGTTTTGCTCTCCAGCATGAAAAAAACTTTAATCAGTACATGATTCTCTGATTTTTATTTTGGAATAAAGACACAAAGAACATTTTTACCAAACAGATTTATCAATTATAGGGTTTGTCTGTGTTTTATATCTATATTTCTATGGTCAGAAGTGCAACACATTTTTTAAAGATCCAAGTTATATGATAAAAAAGACCTCTATCGTACTAATGATTTTTTTCAATAAATAATGATTTATTTGAATAATTTAGAGCTACATTACTGACAGTTTTGTCATTAAAATTTGTCTCTTTTTCAATTTTATCAATCCAGATGTGTTTTTATCTTTTCTTTGATTTTTTTTTATGAATGTTTAAAAAAAAAAGCACTGAAAAATTGCTATGAAATTCAAGTAATTCTACCTCAACTTCACTGAAAGAAAAGAACATTTTCTGATGTTATTTATGTTTCACAATTCTACTTAAAAGATTCACATGCTCTTGGTCAAGAGTGTAACAAAAATATTAGAATAATTCTGACCAAATATGAATAAATACGAGGGTTGTTCGGAAAGTTCGTGGACTATGCCAATCTTCGTTATACTATCTTCAAGAAATTGAAAATGAGCATATTATCATATGTAAAAATATTTATTTTATTTAATTATGAAGTTTCATTCCACGTGATTTAATAGAATTCATGTTATTTAATTTTAAAATCAACACGTTTTGTAACCATGGAGCAAACTCAACAACACTGTAACGTCAAAAACATACCGACATGAGGTTCTCAAAAATACTATCCCTATACATTTCACACAGTACTACCCAATACCAGTGCATTCATTAAAAACGTTTCTCTATCACTTGAAATCTATTTTGCTAACATTTGTTCCAGTAGCATCATTTTGTTTGTCAATGTTATATTTTTTTCACTGCATTAGAGTGCTTTCACAAGATCAGCATCTGTGAAGCGCCAAACTCTTAGCTTGACGTTACTAACTTTTCAATGTTTTTGATAGGATTTTTACAGATTACCCGTTTTCTCACAGATCACCATCGACTAAGCAGAAAAGTCTATCATTAAAATACCGCTTGTACCATGTACACACACATGTATGGATCGCTTTTGACATATTTCCTACTTCCTCCGGCATTTTAAGAGTTTTTTTTCTGGAGTTTTCCAGAGTACACCACAAATTGTACGGTTAACTGCTGATCCGTGACGTTCTACGACGCCATCTTTTTGCCTTTTTCAATGAGGACTACCTATCTTCTGAAACTGATTTCTTTTCAACGAAGCAAAACATTATGTCATAATTTGGAATCACAAACGATGAAACAATTCTTAATTTGAACGTCTAGAATATTTCCGTTTTTTGTGTCATTTTACAGAAGATACGACTTCAGACATTATTTCGTGTCTTGATTGTAAATTACAAAATTTTGACCTGCTCCATGATCCGATTTTCGCATTTCTTAAGTCTAAATAAGTTTGCAATAAACCATGATATTTTTAAAAAAAAATTTAACACACATCATTTGAATTTACTGTAGAAATATTTCTCTTAAATTTGGATATAATATGACGTTCAGTAAAAAAGTTATGACCGTCACGGTAGTACACGAACTTTCCGAACAACCCTCGTATATAAACAATTGAATCAGTAGAATGTTTCTGGTTGACCTAAATTGCTTAAAGTGTTTGTCCCGCGAAGAAAATTTACTATAAAATACTGATATTATAGTTTTATCTTCTTAAAATATATTTTGAGCTATTTTTGTTTGGCATAAATAGGGAATAATTCAACATATAAAGCAAAGTTTATATACCTTTATGTGTTTTAACCATAAATATTGGACTATAAGTTACACAATTTTGTTAACACTTATGCATGTTGCCAACACCCATTCTTTTATTATGTATAGTGGAGTATTTTTATGAAACGATTATTTTGGGTTTTCACGATTTTTCTTACAAAATACATAATAAATAAGCATAATTTGTAAAATGTCGAACAAGCCTGGGGTATATTGGGAAGGGGGAGGAAGGGAGTGAGAAATTTTAAGGACAAGTTATTGTGCACAAATTCAATCCTCTCTCTCTCTCTCTCTCTCTCTCTCTCTCTCTTATCGAATTTTCGAAATCTTGAAATGGAAATAAATAATGTACATGTATTAAAATGAGAGTGAAACCTACTGTGTCAGATATAGCTTATATCTGGATCTGGATATTTTTCAGGAGCAAACGCAAACAAAAAGGACCTTTTAAAAATTATTGTTACTTTCAATTCCTTGTACAATTCAAAGTGCATTCATTTTGTGTTCAATGGGTTTGTATCAAGCCAGAAATAGATTATACTAGTATCAAAAAAATGAATATGTGACAAAAATTCTATATAAAAAATTCAATATATGACTAAATGAAAAAGAAATGCGATGGTGTTGATTGGTGTTGTAACTGTTGGTGTTGATTGGTGTTGTAACTGTTGGTGTTGATTGGTGTTGTAAGTGTGTATAGAGGACTTAATTTTTTTCAGTATGTCTTTGGTTCAGGCTATTAATGGAAAATTAATACAAGTTATTGTAAGTTTTAGTTTTTAATTCACAGATGCAAACAATGATACAGTATAAAATCAAATTAGCAATGGCTTCATAAATAAGAGAGAGAGGGGGTGAGGGGGTGAGAGATGCAACTGATGATCCCACCTCTGATGTTTTTGGAGGTCCGTGTTTGCTCTGCTCCCGATTTGTATTGTTTTAATGCACTTTGAGCTTGAGTACTATTCGTTATCTCCATACTTCATGCTACTTATTATTCACTGAAGAAAGTATTAAGTCACTCAAACACTTCAATTGATTTGAATTAGAGGCTATATCTTTTACAACTCTGTAAGATCCTTTTCATTAAAAAAAAACAAATTTCCCATTCCTTATAAAAATCTCCAAATTCACAAGTTTCGGTAGCAATATATTTCAAAATAAAGAGATGAATTTAAACATTTGTAAGTAGTTCGTGAATTAATAAATTTTCAATGACATTTAGACATTGCTTCTTAAAGATGTAGAATTTAGGGATCAGGCCCCAGGATCATGAAACAAACTTAGACTTAAGTCAAATTTTCAATTGCTTATAAAATGTTTATTATTTATTGAATTAATCTCTAATTTTTCAGATAACAACGCTTTTAATTTGTAAAGTAATATTGTAAAATAGTTTAATTTTGGTCTGCTTAACTTCTACAACATTTTAGTACAACATAAAGATTTTGACTTAAGCTTAAGATGTTTCATGATCCCGGGGCCAGAACTATAGAGTGCAAATATCTACAATTATGAATGAGGATTTAATCTAAAAATAAATCTACAAGGATCTCTTACATGTAGTATGGCAATTTCCCTTGCTTGAAAAAATTCAACAAATAAAGTGATGAGATCTTGAACAGTGGAAAAATCCCACAGTATATGTAAAATTGTTCACTTCATTCAAATTACAGAGAGAGAATGTACATTTTACCGATTTTCAATCCAATTTACACAGATATGCATTGTTTGTCAAGATATGGTAATTATTCCAATACTGTAACTATAGTAGTTATTTTTAATACTTTTAGTACTCATAAAAGATAACTAAAAGATAGATTTCCATTGTAATTTGACGAAGTGAAATATCTTCCTCATTTTATTTAGTAAAAGATGAAATGTTTTCTTCCTGTCTTCTAAACAAAATTATTTAAGAAAACTAATTTTGATGTTAAAACTTATTCTGTAAACTTATTTTGTAGACATTGTAAATTCAAAACTAACCATTCTCATCCCGCCCCGGAGGTCATGATTTGGACAAACTGTAATCTGCACAACCTGTGGATGCTTCCGCATAAATATTATTAAGCATGGCTTTGCTGTTCTTGAGAAGAAGATTTAAATATAATCCCTATAATAATACCATGCAAAACTTTGATTTCCTATTCTGGACCTGCCCTACCCCAGGGATCATGATTTGGACAAACTTGGATCTACACTACCTGAGGATGCTGCAAAATAAATATTACTTTTTACGGCTTTACTTTATAGGGAAGTTTTTTTTTTTTTTTTTAAATTTCAAATATATATTTCTAAGTAAAACTTTGATAGCCGATTGTGGCCAACCCTGCCATAATTTGATCATGATTTGTACAAATTTGAATCTCACTATGTAAGAAAGAAAGATTTTATATATGTTTCATATTTTCAGGCCCAGTGGTTCTTGAAAAGAAGATTTTTAAATGATGCCATTAAATATGCACTAATTCTTTATCATCTCCCCATAAAAGAAGCTTTTGTCCTTCTTTTAAAAAAATCTGAATTCCCTTTATCCCAGGATGCTTTGTGGTAGGTTTGGTTAAAATTGGATCTTGAGAAGAATTTGAAAATGCAGAAAGTTTACAGACAACAACAGACAGGCAGCTGGACGGACAAAAAACAATTTTTGATAAAAATAAAAGTTTACTTTAGCCTTTGGCTCGGGTGAGCTAAAAACCTGTATTTATTACTAAGTAAGTACCATATATTACATATCACAGAGTACATAGAGGATATTCAATGTTTTGTAGATGAATATGGAATTTATTTCACGAGTGGGACAGGATTTTTTTTATATTTTCACGAGTGCGAAGCACGAGTGAAAAATATCAAAAAATCCTGTCTCACGAGTGAAATAAATTCCATATTCATCTACAAAACATTGAATTTTCTGTTTATTACATTTTCTTTGATTTTCCCTTTGCCTCTATCTTTTCTTAACACAGCGTCATAGGCTTGACGTCATAGTTGAGAGGTTGAGACGTCATAGCTTAGCAGTTGTGTGATTGAAAACATTATATAGCATGGGTTTCAGCAACATATTTGGGAAGAAATATGCAGTTTTAGCTCTATCAAGATGCTTAGTTACTATTTCTATCTTATGACAGGCCAGAAATTATTTTTTACTTACTTTGATATCCTTTCACACTGTGAGAGAATATCATTTTGGTATCCTTTCACACTGTGAGAGAATATCACTTTTATTCAATAAATAAATCAAAGTATATTTCACTGTTGAAAATGTAATAAAGTATATTACATATCATACAGTACTGTATATTACATATCATATAAGTATGTGACATGGACTCAGCTACAGCAGGACATCAGGAGGTAGAATGTATAACTAGATCTTATGTATTAGCAATAGACATTGTATATATTATATATCATGCTGTTGAGCTTCCGCAATATTTCAACAGGTTAAGGTAAAGGATGTGGCATGATGTTACATATTGATTAGTTGAGGTTTAATTCAGAGTAAATCTATCATTACCTATCTTTCCATTCGTTCTTAACGTCAGAGTACATAATGAAGAACAAAACCTCCGAAAATGAAAGGTGATTTGTTTTTTAAATATCTGTATTTTATTAATTTCTTTAAGCCAGTTACATAATTTGTATACAGTTCTCGCACTTTCACTTAATGAGGAGCATTTCTGTGTTTAAATTACTCTTTGGATATCAAAGGATGTTAACGGTTGATGTTCAAGCAAATGAAGATGACAAGTCAAAACTTGAGTCATTTGATATCGTGGATACAACCCCGTCCGTCCAGATTGACAACAGCCAAACAAATAAGTTGCTTTATGGCGTTGATGATGTACCGCCCTGGTATCTCTGCATTTTTCTTGGCTTACAAGTAAGTATTTCATTGCAGAGATGTAAGTTTTCAATCTTTCTCTTGCTACAGAATTGGTTGTTTTTTACGCTAACGGTTAAATACGCGGTTCACAGACAAACATTACGCGGAACAAGAGTTCAAAAGTTCAGGGACTTGGTTACAAAATGGCGTATACAACCTTCTTTATGTCAATCTGCATAAGACGATGAAAAGCACATCCAAATCAGCTGATAATAGCAGTTTTTTTTAATATATATTTTATATTATTTTATAAATATAGTATTTCCATCAGTAGTATAACATCCAGGAGGGGGGGGGGGGGGGGTTCAAAAGTACACTCAGTTGACCTCGACAGCCTGACCCGTTATATTACTTCGATCTATCTGCACTGTAAAGGTTAAAGGGCGACACTCGCCATCTTGTATTTTTAAGTGTTTTTTAATAATTATTTAGAAACTCTTTCGTACCTGATGCTGTTTGGAATGGAATTTACTAAAAACAGAGGTCAGAGAAGCCATCTCAATCAAAACATTCCGAAAAAACTTTTTTACATACTTCTCTTTTGGTAAGCGATACACCAATATCATTCATACTAAGCTAAGACATTACTGTATACTAAATTATGATCTTTATAAACGAAACATTATAAATAGTCCCTTATGTTTATGTGGAAAAATGAAGATGTGTACCATTTCTTTTTTGCATGCAAAAATTATTCCAGTGCAAGAAGTACTCTTTTTAATCGCTTGTTAACTCTTGAACTAGTTACTATTGATATAAATCTATTATTACGTGGTGATGTTAATTTGCCTTTCCAGATAAATAACAGTATTTTTGCTGCTGTTCATAAATTTGTTGACGAAACATGTAGATTCTCTAGTTGATATGCTACTTTAAAATTGCCTTTTTCACTTGTATTAATTGTATTATTTTTCTTCTATTTTGCATGACAAATTGTTATATATATAAGGAGAGGAACTTTGTAAGTTGTAAGGAACTTATTTCCAATCCTTTTGATGTACTCAATAAAATATGTTCAAAACAAGTGTTCCTTTGCTTATAATTTGAATATATTTTTGAATATGTTGCGGCTCTAAGTTTAGAGTGTAATAAGTGTAAACCGTCCCCATGCAAAACACATCTTTACAATATTTTATTAAATAATGCTTGAGTTTGTTCGTGGTTACAGTCTTAATTTCCTTTTTATTATTCCTTTTTTCTCATTGGTAAAAATTTATAAGCAAAAAATCGTGATATATTTCCCAGATGTGGATATGATTGTTGCTAAGGAAGATTGAGTAGAATATCAACAATAAAAAACTTACATTACAGCAATCTTTTACCGGAATAGCAGGTGCAATTGAATTACCTATAATTCTTCATGAAAGTGTTTGTATGGGGGATGATACAGTTGGTCTCTCGGAGTGGATTGGTACCGCTCTTTTTACAACTGGTCTGGCTACAATGATGCAGTCGTTTATAGGTATTCGGTGGGTATTGAGCTCCATATACATTGAACATTGGAGAACCTGTGTCAGAATAACAAATTCCACGTGGAAAGTCCATGTCAAAATTCGTTGTTTAGGCATAATCAATAATATTTCATTTTTTGTCAGGAAAACCAATATTTTAAATTATTTAATGTGTGCTTATTTATTTAGGGGCGTACAAAATCCTTTTAAAATTTTTTTCTTATATACAGTGTACATGTTATTACTTGTAATATGAAACCCTTTTTTAGAATTATCAAAATTTTTGAAAACCCAGACAAGTCTTCATCTTCTTGGATGTTTCCATTGTAGATATATTATACGTGAAAAATATCTGTTGATAGATTACCAATTGTACAGGGAACCACTGTTGCTTTCTTGATGCCCGTGTTTGCTCTGATGTCTCAGCCGGATTGGAAGTGTCCCACTAATGTTACACAAGGTAGGGTGAGTAGGATTGGAAGTGTCCCACTAATGTTAAACAAGGTAGGGTAGGTAGGATTGGAAGTGCCCCACTAATGTTACACAAGGTAGGGTGAGTAGGATTGGAAGTGTCCCACTAATGTTACACAAGGTAGGGTGAGTAGGATTGGAAGTGTCCCACTAATGTTACACAAGGTAGGGTGAGTAGGATTGGAAGTGTCATACTACTGTTACACAAGGTAGGGTGAGTAGGATTGGAAGTGTCCCACTAATGTTAAACAAGGTAGGGTGCGTAGGATTGGAAGTGTCCCACTAATGTTACACAAGGTAGGGTGAGTAGGATTGGAAGTGTCCCACTAATGTTAAACAAGGTAGGGTGCGTAGGATTGGAAGTGTCCCACTAATGTTACACAAGGTAGGGTGAGTAGGATTGGAAGTGTCATACTACTGTTACACAAGGTAGGGTGAGTAGGATTGGAAGTGTCCCACTAATGTTACACAAGGTAGGGTGAGTAGGATTGGAAGTGTCCCACTAATGTTGCACAAGGTAGGGTGAGTAGGATTGGAAGTGTCCCACTAATGTTACACAAGGTAGGGTGAGTAGGATTGGAAGTGTCCCACTAATATTACACAAGGTAGGGTGAGTAGGATTGGAAGTGACCCACTAATGTTACACAAGGTAGGGTGAGTAGGATTGGAAGTGTCCCACTAATGTTACACAAGGAAAGGGTGAGTAGGATTGGAAGTGTCCCACTAATGTTACACAAGGTAGGGTGAGTAGGATTGGAAGTGTCCCACTAATGTTAAACAAAGTAGGGTGAGTAGGATTGGAAGTGTCCCACTAATGTTAAACAAATTAGGGTGAGTAGGATTGGAAGTGTCCCACTTATGTTACACAAGGTAGGGTGAGTAGGATTGGAAGTGTCCCACTAATGTTACACAAGGTAGGGTGAGTAGGATTGGAAATATCCTACTAGTGTAACAAAAGGTAGGGTGAGCAGGATTGGAAGTGTCCCACTAATATTACACAAGGTAGGGTGAGTAGGATTGGAAGTGTCCCAAAAATGTTACACAAGGTAGGGTGAGTAGGATTGGAAGTGTCCCAAAAATGTTACACAAGGTAGGGTAGGGTGAGTAGGATTGGAAGTGTCCCACTAATGTTAAACAAAGTAGGGTGAGTAGGATTGGAATAGTCCCACTAATGTTACACAAGGTAGGGTGAGTAGGTGATTTAAAACGATATTATTAAATAAATGAAATTTATTATGTCTTGATAACAATCATAATATCATAAAAAAAGACTCACTTGATTAAAACAACAGACGAGGGGTTATTAAAGTATTCTTGGACTGGGGCCATCAAATCAAAACTGCTTACGGCACAACATGAATTTTAAGACATTTATTCAACATCATCCTTTCTGCCTATAGAATAAATTACAAGATATACGGTTTATCTTTGAATAAATTGTAAATGTCTTTGTAAGCAATTGCACTGCCAAGAGGCAAAAACTACAACATATTTCTACCGTGAGTCTACGGGAGACATCTTTCGATATCAAGTATTTGGTTTCTAATTTTGACGTTAACTCACTTGTGTGAAGTGACAAAATTGTTCTAAAACATTACAACTTTACCTAATTTTGTCCCTTTTATGAGGTGTAATCGATAATTCCTTAGAGAGTGTAAAAAAGGACGCCGGAAAAGGTCGAAGTTTTTTTTGCAACAATTAATTATTTAACTTAAGAAAAGAAAATGCATACACTTTAGAAATATTTCAATAGACCGGAGAAAAAGTGTATATTATCTGTTTGTAAATGGCTAAAATGATTCAGATAAAAGAGAAACATTTAATGCCAATTTGGAGTCCGGATGTCCAAAGTCTGTCAAGTCGAAAAAGTACCGATACGTTGCTTACGAAATTGAACTCCTATACGTGGATTAAGCTGCCAAAGTCACGGGGTAATCTTCAATTTTGTGTTGAACTATATACAATATTGTATTTTGAATCAGTTGTTCATTAAATTTTAAAGTCATATAAACAAGATTGGTTTTCAATCAGTTTTTAACACTAGAGTATTTCGTCAACCAAAGTGTATAGAGGTAGAGGGAGCAGACATTGAGAAACAATGACGTTGTGGAAAGATATAAAACTCAACTGCGACTGCGCTGGGTGGTCATAAAATGTCTTTCGATTTTATGCTAAATTGGCAAATTATCAACGTTAAAATTTTCAACATTTCCAAAAAAAAAGTTATCGTTTTACAATCCTTATATATTTTGTAAGCACAGCCTATATAGTGTTAATTTTCTCGCATCAGTCCACGAGTTTTTTAATAGCCCATCGTAAATACGACACTGTAGTTTGTCCATGACAATGACATGGGGTCAAAAAACATCCTCAAAGCTTAAATAAAATTTTAGGGGGAATTTAGTTCTGTCAAGTTTTTTTCGTGAGGAATAAGTTTATGTACATAAAAAAAGTTAATCACTTTACTTTGAAGGAATAGAGAATTCTACATTACCCATTCCTGAAGTTGGCAATGAGAAGCATAGGGAAATGTGGCAGACTCGCCTCAGTGTAGTATGTAGACACATTATTTTAAAACGTGTAATTGTTACTGAGAAAGATGGAGAAATGTGTTAAAGTTGTCTCAGTTTAATACGTAGACAAATCAAAAAAGTGAAGTTGGCGTTGTTCGTGTATATAAAAGGTGAAGATAGCGAACAGTGATCAATCTCATAAATCAAGTGTTAAAGATAAATTGTGAACAGGAGAAAAACCCTTATCCTTGGAAGTACCAGAGGCGGGATCAGGTGCCTAAAAGGAACAAGCATCTCCAAGAATACTAGCACTTATAGTTGAAGAAATATAAAATTTAAATATTAAAGTTTGGTTAATATTAACTATGCTTTTTATAACAAAATTGTTTGTTTGTTCCTTTGTTAAGTTCTTTCGAGATTTTTTCACTCATATTTAGACGCCGCCACTTCCTGGTGGAGGGCTGCAAATTTAGACCTGTACTCGGCACTTACGGCATTTGAGCAGTGAGGGATCCTTTCGTGCCCGCAACTACTGCAGCATGGGACCTCGGTTTATAGCTTCTCATCCGAAGGACCGGTCTCCACGTCCCGCAGTGGGATTCGAATCCGTGACGTAAGGATCAACTCCCTTCTCTAGGCCTTAGAGCAAAAACTCTAATCCAAACCCTCTTCTAACCACTGCGCTTCGCGGACGATATAATGAAATTGTGAAAACAAGAAAACATGCATGCTAGGCATGAATTTTAAATCATTTCACTTTTAAGTGTGCAGAGATGGCGGATTTTTTAAGAGTACCTTAAAGCTGAAAGGCATTGTCTGTCATATTTCTCTTTCATCGGCACTATCCCTACAGCCCCTATATAAGCCGCAAACTTCCTAACAGTTCATACTATTTCACTGTAGAGGTCTCACCTGTGTAGACGTATACATATCTTTCGTTGCCGTGATAGTCGGTAACGATGAAATTATCATTAAATTTGACGCATTTTTTTTACAATCCAGGAGAAAAGTAACATCAGATATACAATGCTATGCATTAATTACCCAGAAAGTGCACATAAAACAAGGAATAAATGCACAAAATCTAATGTAAGAGCACGAAAGGAATACTACTCGTCAGCCACGAGTTTCAAGTGTGCAATCCGTTGTAACGAAATCGAAGGGTATATATACCCATGTGACGGTTCCCTATTTATGAATAGTGTTAAGTTTGAATTTAGAAGTACTTCAAAGTCAATAATTGTGACACTTTAGATCTACATTTTTACAAACAATTGCATATATCATATCAAAATTATTTGGTTACAGAATAATAGGCTGTGGAGAAATAGACTCTATGAACAAAGTAGTTCATTATTTTCCCTCAGTTTTGGAAGCAACCACCTAAAAAGGTGTAGCTGACTGTATTTACCCGAGAAATTTGTTACCTTTCTGAAATAATTTTTGTACATTTTGATATTCATTTGTGTGCATTTTGATGTTTATTTGTGTACATTTTGATATTTATTTGTGTACATTTTGATGTTTATTTGTGTACATTGTGATGTTTATTTAGGTGTCTGGATCACTAATGGTGGCGTCTCTTTTTCAAATGATCCTAGGTGTAACCGGAATGATTGGATTTTTATTGCGTTTTATTGGACCAATCACAATATGTGCTGTGACGTCATCGATAGGACTCTCGTTATTTCCATTAGCAGCTTCTTACTCAAGTGAACAATGGTACATTGCCCTGTCGTAAGTTTAACTCTATATCAAGATGTATATTAATTTTGTTGGAAAATCTACTACTGCAAAAGACGTTATTTCGGTGATACAATTAAATGAATATATGTCAACTTTTGCTTATTGGCATAACAAAATATTAGTATTCAAACATGTACTGAATTTCGAAATGATTTACTGTCTTCGATGTCACATCAATTCTTTACTGATTGTCTCTAATATCTGGTTTATCCACTCTGTACACAAATTAGATGTATACGTTCTTGCATTATCTCTGAAACCTTTAAATTAGATTATGTCATTTTGTTCGGGAAATTCTTGATCAATCATTGATGGATGCATTTTCAAGCTATTCAGATTTCGGTTGCTCAACTCAGTTTATGCGAAGTCATCTACTTTGAAATGTACAAACACCGATCATTGTTCTCTGTCTTCCCTTTTTTTCTATTTCATTAAATATTAACTTATTCAAATTTCATATTAAAGCATTTAGAACAGATGGTGTTAAGGAAACTTGGTACAGGATTATTGTTTTCATTCTTAAACTTGAAATTTTTTTCTTGTGAACTGCTATCTTCACTTTCTTATATAAAATATCAAGTTTCCTTAATGATGATATTCCAGATTTAAGCATGAATAATTGTAATTGATAAATCATTCCTTTTATATTTATTACCAGAGTAATTTTCTTTGTTACCCTGTTCTCTCAATTCTTGAAGAGGTGGAAGTTCTTCACTATTTTTCCGGTGAGTAAGATTGCGTCACGAGATCAGTGAAAATCAGTGGGAAATGTAAGGATAACTAACCTACAATAATTAGTATTTTATGAAATACTGTTTGTATACTATGCAGTTCCTTGTTAGAGGGAAGGTTTGTTTGTCTGAATTCAGTTGATTTGCTATTTATACTATGCAATTCAACATTTTCTCTCAGGTTATTTTATCCATTGGACTGGGGTGGCTATTGTGTTTTGTGCTTACTTACACTGGGGTACTTACCGATCAGAAGGATGGCTGGGGTTATACAGCGAGGACTGACATTAAGTCGTCGGTTATATGGAAAACTAGCTGGATTAGGATTCCTTATCCAGGTGATGAAAAAACACACGTGTTCATCTGACTTCCCAACAATCTATTTGAATCCCGATGGATACTAAATGGAAGTCTTTGATACCCGACCTATTTTTATATTCATATGAGGCAGAATTTATTCAAAAAATTCTATATGAGCTCTGTCTTTCAAGTCGACACTTAGATATATCGACGAGGTTTTATCAATCAAAAATACGGTTAGTTAATTTAGTTTATCTGTCGATTGGATGTAGTCCAGAAAGCTATAAAGTCAAAAACGAACAAATAATCCATGAGACTATCAGAATGACGAAATTTATTATTCTGTCCAAATTTCATATATTTATGTAATAAAATTTAATTTTCAACTTCATATGGCGTTCATATTATGTCTCCCGACCCGTTTGGTACGCAAGAACAATTCTGCGTACTGCTAGTATCAAGTTTTAAAGCTGACGCAGGCTACTGACAAATAAGTTGATGTTTCAGTGATTACTACAATTTCGTTTAACATAAAAATTTAGCAAATTCAATAGTCGATAAATAATGGGCCTTGTTTGCAAAACTAACCTATCGATTTACCGTATTTTTGCGATTATATTTCATACCAATTCTTATCCTATTGTTATATCTTAATGTATTTCGATGATATTGACGTTATATGTACGTGTATTTCCATTTTTCTGTATATCAGAAATAACAGAAGCATTCAACAGATAGTACATGGATAAAGATAAAACAGGAATTTGGATTTCATATACTTGCCAGACAGATAGGGGGCACGCAAAAAACTTAAAAGATATTTTTTCAGGTCAGTTCGGATTGCCAATGGTCAACATCGCTGGTGTTTGCGGCATGCTTGCAGGTGTTATAGCGTCAGTGTTAGAATCTGTTGGAGATTACTACGCGTGCGCAATGCAAACAGGGGCCGGGAGACCACCTTCGCATGCCATAAACAGAGGTGAAGAGTCTCGTTTTAACTTTCATGGCAGTGTATTACTTTTTAAATAAGCTCTTAAATTATTATTTGTCTGTTGGACAATGTATATGAAGTAGTTGATATTATTCTACCGTTTCTTCATATGGGTCGCTGTAGAGGTATGGGTTGGTAGACAAGTATGATTTTCTTTATACGGGTCTATGTGGAGGAGCTGGGATGGTTTTCAAGTTTGATTTTCTTTAGAAGTGACTACGTGGAGGGCAGGGGTGGTTAAATAATCTGCATTTCTTTATAGGATCATTGTGGAGGGTATGGGGTAGTATATAGATCCGCATTTTTTATAAGGGTCGCTTTTGAGGAGTTTTGGTGATATACAAGTCTTTTTTTTTACTTTTAGGGTTTGCTGTAGAGGTGCTGGGTGGTATATAGACCGGATTTCTTTATGGGGGTCGCTGTGGGGGTGTTTGGGGTGGATTGCAGATCTGCATTTCTTTATAGGGGTCGCCTTGAAAGAGCTTGGGTGATATACAAGTCATTTTTTACTTATAGAGTCCGCTGTTGTGGTGTTGGGGTGGTATATAGATCTACATTTCTGTATGGGGGTCGCTGTGGAGGTGTTGGGGTGGTATATAGATCTGTATTTCTTTATAGGGGTCGTTGTGGAGGGTATGGGGTAGTATATACAAATATGTATTTCTCTATAGGGAGTTGTCTTGGAGGAGCTTGAGCGTTTTACTAGTCTGTTTTACCTATATGAGTCGCTGTGGAGGTTTGGGGTTGTAGACAGATCTGCATTTCTTTATTGGGGTCCTTGTGGAGGGCTCGGGTGGTATACAAGTCTCTTTTTATTGAGTCGCTTTGGAGGGCTGAAGTGGTTTACAAATCTGCTTTTCTTTATAGGGGTCGCTGTCGAGGGTTTAGGGTGTTTCCTCTGTGGATTGTGGGGTTCCGGTATTGGCACGACATCATATAGTGAAAACATCGCTGCTATAAACATTACTCGGGTAATCTCCATTAGTTACCGAGTTCAATTCATTGACATCACCATGTTGAAACCTTATCACGAAACGATAAGTAATGTTCATTATATTCAACACATTATAATTTTTTTCTGTAGAAACATTTTTCCCTTTTTTGACTAACGTATGTCCTCGGTTTATAATCATGAGACCAGATACATTACTAGCATTATTAGACTCAGTACCTGTTTTTCACAATTTTTGGCTGTTGATTTTGCGTAAATATATGTATCTTTATCTGAACTTCAACAATGTTTGATGGCTTAAGAAAAATATTGGAGTTTTGCAGATTTGAAGTTACAAGTGAATATGAAAGAAAAACATGCAATGTTATGATTTTCTTGTTTTTCTTTTATCACCAAATGTAGATCAGCTCCCCAAGATCTTTTCGAGCTTTAGCAGTTTTCCGAATTTCTTGTGGATTTCAGTTCCCATGGATTCTATTTTAAAATCTTCTTTTTTCTCGATGAAGTTCAGTGACTTAATCATTCTAGTACATTTCTTATCTCTTTGGTTTAGCTTTTGAATCTTCTTTATTTTCTTTTTGAAGCTTCTTTTCCAGATTACTGACACGATGTTCATTGATTTTTAGTTTTCCCTAAACAAGTCTGTCAATTTCAACATTTTTTTTTACCTTTGTGACTCTTTCTTCACTTATCGAAATGTTGAAATGTTGAAATAACTTGCTTTTGATTGGATTCGAAAGCCTGGAACATTACTTTACTTCTTGTGTCTTTTTTATCCGTTTCCTCACATTAATTTAGAGTCTATAATTGAACTTGATCTACACTTCATTAATTTTATCTTGGTCTTCGCTACTGAATTGATCAATCCAACAACATATGAATTTCTTTTCTTCGCGAAATTGGAAGAGCTGGTAGTGATGTGTGAAAGTTTATGCAAATGTGTTTAATACTAAGATACTAAGAACAACACAAAATTTTGTTCTAGGTTGGAAGTAGAAGAGTGGTATTAGTTGCGGGACTTATTTTGGTGATACTAGGATGTCTTGGAAAAGTTTCAGCCATCTTTGTTACTATACCACATCCTGTGTTGGGCGGTCTCTTTCATGTTACATTTGGTCAGTACAGTGACTAGTATTCTGGTTTCATTTGAAGTGCTTTATATAATTAAGAAACTTCTGTTAAATGTGAAAAATTTTAATTTGTAGTAAACATTGAAAAAAATATTCAAAGATAGAAAAATTTTGCTCTTACTCACATTGTCCAGGGTTGATGATGTTACAATAAGAGGAAAATATAAAAATGTATAAAAATATTTTTATATTTTCTTTGAACCACTACATTCTAATTTAGTTATGGCTATAGCGAGAAAGTAAAACTCAGTTTACACGTACAGGTATGGTGATGACTGTCGGTCTGACGTATCTTCAATTTGTTGACATGTCTTCACCAAGAAACATTTTTGTAATTGGGATAGCTATCTGTACTGGACAAACTATACCCACGTGGCTTAATCAGAACCAGTCAAGTATTAATACAGGTACAATATAGGGAAAAGAAGCTCTAAAAGTGAGAATTCTAAATCAAATTCAGAGTCCACACATATGTGAATTCCTTTGTAACGAGATGGTTATATGAAAGAAAAGACATTGAAATGGATAAAACTGAATTAATATGGTACTTTTCTTTTGTAACTACTGAATATTTCATTTACATATAGGTATATATGAATTGCTGTTAACCATTTTTTATAGTTAATATCAAATGAACGAAATCAACAAACATCGTCCATGGCCCTGCTGTTTACTCTATGGTCACTTTCTATAATACATTGTAGCTCAATTGGCCAACTACTTTGGAATAACAAATTTTCAAGGGGAGGGGGTGTTAATGGTTAATAATCGTTATTTTCGTGCATGGTATGAAGAGGCATTGAATTCAAGTCCTCCACAAATTAAATGTTGAAATTTCAAACTAAGTATCATGTTCATTTCTTCAACCACAAAATCAGTCTTGACAAATCAAAGTCTTTCCTCAAACCACAAAATGTTGAAATCTCGAAAATAAGTGATTTTACAGTATAAGCCTTTCTGCTTAGAGAAATAAATACATTTTATTTTTTAAAAGGTCCTGAGAATAGAAAACAAGTAATTATCCTTATTTCTGAAGTTTTATATCTTTTTCTTATTCTTTAATCAACATATTTTAGGTAGTCCAATACTAGACCAGATTATCAGCGTTATATTGGGAACACACATGTTTGTAGCTGGACTCATCGCCTGCCTTCTAGATAACATTGTTCCTGGTAATAGTCAATTTTTCCAGATCGGACAATGATAAAATATATAAGAAAGATGAACTGAAATAAGATTTTCTTCTTGCAAAAATGTTCACTGACTTATACTTCTTTTACTATTGAATAAAAAGGCTTTCGTACAGTACTGCTGGAACAACATTTTTAAACTGTCTTATTTAAAACCTCGTTTAACGATAAATATAAATAATAAGCATATAATGGCAATCAAATTTACCCAGCCAGATATACCACGCAAGACTGGAACAGTCTACGGTTTATCAAAGAATGCAATAAAGTTTCCATGTACTTTAGCAATCTTCACATACTATAACAATCTTCACTTGCTTCACATACAAACTCGGCACTCTTCCTTTTACAGGAACACAGCTTGAGCGGGGCTTCACTAGATGGAAGAAGAGCACTGTGGCGTCATTTGATCACACAGGATCCAGGACTGTTTATGGCCTTCCATACATTCAGCAGTACTTAGACAGATTTACCTGGCCCTCATACATCCCAGTGTGTCCTGCATTCAAAGCGGAAAAAAATCAAGACATTTAAAAATCGGATTTCCTGCATAAGAAATAAACCATCAATAACTGTTAATATATATATTTCTTTGTTTATTTGGCGTTTCCTTAGGCTTCTCTTTCTTTGATTAATTTACATATGAAAATCTGTTTAATTAATAGTACAGAATGTATGAAGAGACTTTTTTCAGAATTTGATTGTCCTTTGTAGGTTCATTCAAAATTTATTAAGAAATCTTTATTGCATTTTTCTTCAGCTATCTAATCACAATGTATTTTAATTGATATAGATAGGGCTATGGAATAAAGAAAATATATACTTGCGTTCCACCATACAATTTTTTCTGTCTCTTTTTCCCCTGCATGTATCGGTCTGAATTTTGATGGTGGGATGCGTAAGTTATAGAAAGATGGTGTTCAGATATCCAATCTTACCTCTCATTTGATGGAATTTGAATTTACATATTGAATATTTGTGATAATTGTGTAGACTTATGTCAGTTATTGAGGGAAGTAAATATACACATTGGAGGTTTACATCAGCCTTCATTGTTGACTCTTATAATCTTCTAGAAGAGAAAAAGAGATAAACAGTAATACCCCCGTTAATCAGAAACGTAAGTTGTACTAATATTTCATTGCTGGTGCTAATATCCAGTACTTATCCCCGAGTTTTTTGCTGGGGGATATAAAAGCACACAACCAGTTGGATAAAAATCTCATCGATTAATAACCAAAAGAGATTCTTTTTGGGACATGTTTTTACTTATTTGTGATTCATTTAACCTTTTTTTTTTTTTTTTTTTTTTTTTTTTTTTTTTTTTTTTTTTTGCTGTCCGAGCAGTTTTTCTACACCGCAGAACGATTTAAACTATAACAAGCGGCCCCAACAATCACCCCCATCCTCCACCCACTCACCCACATTTATTTGTGGACTGGTCATCACGAGGGATGAAAGAATGGTATTTATCAATTGACATATCAGGTTAGGGTTAGACATTTATAAACAATTTATCCTTTGAGTTAGGATTAGCTGTATATAAACAATTTATCCATTAGTTTAGGATAAGATGTATATTAACAATTTATCCATTAAGTTAGGATATGTTGTATAGAACAATTTATCCATTGGGTTAGGATTAGATGTATATTAACAATATATTCATTAGGTTAGAATTAGATATAAGCAATTTATCCATTGGGTTAGATAATATCCAGAGGATAGACAGTTAGGGAGAGGATTTCCGTGAAGGTAAGACGTCGAGATAACTATTCATTTACGACATACACAATTCTTAAACTCATTTAATTTCGTAATTGAATGATCAAGAGATTCTTGATTCAATGTTAACGTAAGTGTGGGAGCTTGCTGGGGGTTTAAATAGATTTGTGCATGTATATGTATATTTATTGTAAGACAAGAGTATTTGTTTGTTTTCATGAAAATAAATGTATTTAGCAGGTTCTTTATGATAAGGCCTCCTGATGATTCTCCTTCCTCTGCTTTAATTATTTGTACACAATACAGACTTTACATCCCATATAAACCCATAACTTGTATGCTTCCATGATAAAGAATACGGTTAACCCTTCTTGGATCTAAATATCCTCATCTTTGAGTATAAATATATTTTTTTCCAAAACCAGAAGTTTTTAAATATCAAAATGTTTTATTAGATATTTTATTAAAATATAAAAGTAGTCAAAATAGCATAAAAATATATAAAATGGAAAAAAGAAAACACTTAAAGAAGACATCTTATTAAAAAGAAGCATGAAAAACATAAAAATACATTTACAAAACTAAAAAATAAAATAAAACAACTGGATTTTAGTGGACAATGCGTGAATCGAGGCAAAACATTATCAAACAGCATATCCTTTTCCACATAATAATATGTCCACATATTAATATGTTTTATATGTAAAAATATTCTTCACTACTTCCAGACTCCGATGAAAAACTTGATTCATCAACTTCATCGGAGTTGGAATCTTTGCTTTCACTTCTGCTACTTTTATCTAGTATCTTTCTTTTGTAATGACTCTTACGTTTCTTTTTTCTACTTTCTATTGTCCTAGAGGAATCTTCACTGCTTTTAGAGGATTTCGCACTGTTTGTAACATCTTCGTTGCTGATATCAGAATTTTTGCTGTCATTTTTCTTTCTTTTAAGTTTTGATTTCCTCTTCCTTTTTCCTAGTATAACTGAGTAGTCTGTGCTATGTGTGGGGGTTTCTGTGTCGTCTCCCCTACTAATGTCGGAATCTTTGCTTCTACTACTGCTCAGTTTGATGTATGATTTTATTTCTGCTCCATATGTCTTTTTCTGACCTTCAGTGCTACTAGAGATGTCAAAGTTCTCCTCTGATCTGCTGACTTGCTCTTCACTTTCACTTCCGCTTTCGCTTTCCTCAAGTCTTTTCCTTTTAAAGGAAACCTTGCTATATCTCCTGTTTATTTTCTTACCATTTCTTGGCGGTGAATATTTTCCATTTGTCTCCTCTTCTTTACTTTCTGATGTTTCGGTACTTAGATTTTCATGACTTTCGGACGTTGACTTACTGACGCTTTTGCTGTTGCTATCAATGTGTGTTTTCTTTATCTTTCTTACAATCCCTCTACAACATGGATTTCCTTTCAAACACATGTTTTTCAGTTTCTCCCATATCCCAAGGTAAGCATTCATTGCAATTTTTTTCTTGTTCGTTTCAACTGATTCACAGAATTTTGTAAAATGTCTCACTAAATCTTTCTTTTTAACAGCAAATAGAGTTTGAACTGGACCACGACAATCAATAACTGATTCAAAAACGATATCCTGTATTTTCTCAAAGTCCAATGATTTAGTTTTCAGCAATTTGACAAGTCTTTCAAAATATCTCACGTTTTGTTGGCTTTTAAGTTTCCAGAACCAGTACTTTACTTTGTCAGCAAACATTTTCTCCTTCTTTGTCCATTCTATGATTAATGGTTTCCCATTAGCATGATAATCAGGCGAATAAGACTTTGCCTGACTTTTCAAACTCTTAAGCTTGATAGAATTTTCTGAAACTGTCTTATCTTGTACGGCATAGTCACCTTTCTGTGGATATAATAGATGATGGTATTTTTGGGATTTTGTTGCATATCCAGATTCGTCAACATATCTCGGCGGTTCGGGTGTATTTTCGTACGTTGGCATTCTAGTAGATTTCGTTTGGTGCACAGAGTAGTCGTAAACAGTTGAAACCGATGTATAATCTGATTTCAGTAGTTCCTTCGTGGGTTTATATTTTACGTAGTCATACTTTGGTGGAGCTGTTGTGGGTTCATATTTCATTTGGTCATATTTTGGAGATCCGGAGTTTGGCTCGTATCTAGTGTGATCATATTTCGGGGGTTCTGTAGAAAGATCATATCTCATATAGTCATACTTTGGTGGTGCCGAAGTGGATTCATATTTAACATAGTCATACTTTGGTGGTGCCGTCGTGGGTTCATATTTAACGTAGTCATACTTTGGTGGTTTCATGGTTTCATACTTTGCGTAGTCGTACTTTGGTGGTGCCGTCGTGGGTTCATATTTAACGTAGTCATTCTTTGGTGGTTCTGTCGTGGATTTATATTTAACGTAGTCAAATTTTGGTAGTTCTGTCGTGGATTCATATTTAACATAGTCATACTTTGGTGGTGCCGTCGTGGGTTCATATTTAACGTAGTCATACATTGGTGGTGCCGTCGTGGTTTTATATTTAACGTAGTCATACTTTGGTGGTTCTGTCGTGGATTTATATTTAATGTAGTCATATTTTAGTGGTTCTGTCGTGGATTCATATTTAACATAGTCATACTTTGATGGTGCCGTCGTGGGTTCATATTTAACGTAGTCATACTTTGGTGGTTCTGTCGTGGACTTATATTTAACGTAGTCATACTTTGGTGGTGTCGTCGTGGTTTTATATTTAACGTAGTCATACTTTAGTGGTGCCGTCGTGGTTTCATATTTAACAAAGTCATACTTTGGTGGTGCCGTCGTGGTTTCATACTTCCCGTAGTCGTACTTTGGTGGTGCCGTCGTGGGTTCATATTTAACGTAGTCATACTTTGGTGTTTCTGTCGTGGATTTATATTTAACATAGTCATACTTTGGTAGTGCCGTCGTGGGTTCATATTTTACGTAGTTATACTTTGGTGGTGTCGTCGTGGTTTCATACTTTGCGTAGTCGTACTTTGGTGGAGCCGTCGTAGGTTCATATTTCACGTAGTCATACTTTGGTTGTGCCGTTGTCTGTTCATATTTAACGTAGTCCTGTTTTGTTGGTGCCATCGTGTGATCATAACCATAATTAGATAGTTTTTCTGTTGGTTCATACACATTTGAAATGCCAGGCGAATGACCTTGTGGGGCATGGAAAACATTTTTATCATTTTGCGTTTTGGAATACTGCTTTGTCAAAGCAATGACTTCATGAGTATCTGAAGGATGAGGATAAATTGTATTTGACCCCAGAGTATTATCGTATTGGTCAGTTCTGGAATATTCATTGTGCTGAAAGTTAAGATCATTTTTATCTAGTTGTGTTGTGTCTATCGGATTTACCTCGTAATTAAAATAATCCAGGTCTGTTTTAAAATCGTTTAAGGTTTCACTGACAGATGACAACAATTGGTCGAAATCTAAATGAGGTGAATTCAGGTCATTAACAAACTGTTCACTTTGTTGTTCTACTTTATGATATCCCGGTGGTACTGAATTTTTATTCCACACAAATTCAGGAGATTTCAAGTCGTTAGACAATTGATTACGATGGTGGAGGTCATTGTAATACTCAAGTGGTATTGAATTCTTTTTCCAGATGAATTCGGCGTCATTTAGTGTGTTTAAATTCGGTCTCTCTCGGTGATCTAGTCGAACATTACTCGGTGGATACTGAACTGGATGGACAATAACTCGTGCACGGACTGTGTAGACATAAAACACCTGGAAATTCAAAACGTTATTCCTATGAGTAAAACAATCAGGGAAATAGAGACAGTATAGAAATAAAACACCAAGAAATTCAAAACGTTGTTCCTCTTAGCAAAACAAAGCAAAACTGGGTTCTTTTTTATTTGTTCATTATTTAGATTTTGATTTTCCATATAAAAAATAGATAAAATAAACACAAAGGTTAAGTTTTATCAAAACATATCTTGTCGAGTATAAATTGTTTATTTGACTTTAAAACATAATGCAAGTACAGAAAAGAAGGATTTTTTTTTTCATTTGGAGAGGCACTATTTTATATTGCAGCGGTATGTGTATAATGCTGGTTTGGTACAATGGAATACTTAAACTTTAACTGACAAATTAAAGCACTTTAAGATGAATATACTTACCACAGAAATTAAAGTAATTGTTCTCATGTTGTACAGGTCTTCCTTTAATGTTTTCTCCTCATTGTCACCTGCTTTTATACCTGTAACTTATCGATTCGCCTGACACTTCCGTAGATAATTAACATATTAATTAAATTCAGCTAGTTTGTTATTTTGTGTAAGTTTATGACTCCTGAAATGATTAATCGATATGCTGCAGGATGTGAAAAGAAGCTAATTTGTCTGCAACATTTACCTAATTTCGTTTATTTTTAGATATATGAAGTCTTTAGGAAATGACGTTTTAATTCATATACTGACTTGAAATGAATTCCTGCATATATTTACAATATGTAATGAATTATCAATACATGTATTGATGAACATTTTGTTTATCAATGGAGTGCGTGTTTTTTTTCCTGATTAAGAATATTGATGTATACTTTTAATTACATGTCAATGGAAATTATCCAGGTTTGAATTCCTGTCAATATCAAAACGATATAAGTCGGTCTGAATGTTGTAAGCTGATTCTAACAGTCCAATAACTTTAGTATAATGTATCTCATTTCTATCTCGGCCTCGTGTGTTCATTATGTACAGCATTTGGCAGACAACTCTTCAAACATTTTTAAACATTCAATATCAGTTAAATCAGAAGTACATGGTTTGAATATTTCTGGATTAACTAATCATAAAATTCTTAAAACTATTTCCTTGATCCGCTCCAAAATTTTTCTAAATGTGCAAAGCGATATAACATATGGGAATGGATCAAAATTATGAAATTTAATTTTATATCAAAGTATAGTGTTTGATTTTATAAAATCCCAGATATCCCAAATATCATTGTCTGAAATTTTATTAATCTCGTTTCCAATATTTTATTAGGATACATTTTTACCAATTTTTAATCAGCTTTGTTAAATAAGAGAACATGATTACTACAATGAAAACAGTTATATGTAGTAAATAAAAGTTGTTTAAATGTAGTAAATAACAGTTATTTATTACATTTTCAATAGTGAAATACATAGAGGATATTCAATGTTTTGTAGATGAATTTGGAACTTATTTCACTCGTGAGACAGGATTTTTTTTATATTTTCACATTATTTTATATATATTTTCATATAAAGGAAAATCAAAGAAAATGTAATAACAGAAAATTCAATGTTTTGTAGATGAATATGGAATTTATTTTACGAGTGGGAGAGGATTTTTTGATGTTTTCACGAGTGCTTCGCACTCGTGAAAATATCAAAAAATCCTGTCTCACGAGTGAAATAAATTCCATATTCATATACAAAACATTGAATATCCTCTATTTATATGTAGTAAATAACAATTGCTTATATGTAGTAAATAACAGTTATTTATATGTAGTAAATAACAGTTATTTATATGAAGTAAATAACAGTTGTTTATATGTAGTAAATAACATTTATATGTAGTAAATAACAGTTGTTTATATGTAGTAAATAACAGTTATTTACAAGTAAGTTACATTATGTAGTAGTTAACAGCAATTTATATGTAGTAGTATATCACAGTTATTTATATGTAGTAAATAGCAGTTATTTATATCTAGCGGATGTTAATGTACCTTATTTTCCACATTTCTTTGGGTTTTTTTTTTTTTTTTTTTTTTTTTTTTTTTTTCAGTCTTTGCACTTTGAAAAAAACTGTATGGTCGAGCATGGAATTTCGGTTGGAAGAATTTGTCATAAACAGGCCTAGAAAAACATGTTTGTAATGCACCATTTTGCTTCATGTGCAAAAAGTTAAAATGAAATTAAAATTTAATTTCTACTTTCTTTTTTATGTATTTATTTTACAGTGTATTGAAGGATAATTCACAGTAACATTTTATTTTTTTTTTTAATAATATAATTTTTTTAATAGCCATAATATAGAAAACATTTGGGGATAAGGCCTAGTGAATACTAGTATTAAGATTCTTGTAATATGTGCCAAGCCCGTGTTTGCACCGTAATTTTTTTTCTGCGTTTATCCTTTTTTGTAACATGGCTATAAATAACCCTTAATTCTGTTTTAACCTAGACTTCAACATTTCGTTTTTCTCATTTTCCTTTTGATTTTTGAGAAAAATATAATACAAAAGACTATATACGGAATTTCCCTTCTTTTTTATTTCTTTCTTTGTACTTTCCGTCATGTTGTTGTTTTGCATATGTACCTCTAACTATTGCATGAAATGTTTTATTTTACTTATACTGTACCCCATATACCAATATTTTGAATTGAGAATCAATTGACCTTGAACACTTACGATTCAAGGTATTTGTCATCGATTATTGATCGATTATTTATAGTACAGATAATATGATTGGTATTTGTGTGTATGAGGTAAATGATATATACAAAATAGGTAAAAATAATTCATCAAAGTCATCGAAGAAGTACAACAAACAAGATAATAAAAAATGTAAATTTCCCGTCTCAATCAAAATTAGAAATAACTTCTATGACGATCTTCCAAATTTAAATTTTCCCTGAAATTTCGCCTTTTTTTTTTTTTTTTTTTTTTACAAACAAATCATTTTTTTCGAAGCAAACAGATATGTTTAACGTACATATATCAAGAACTGAGAGTAAGTTCTGATTATTTCTACTACTTCTGTGTGAATTTACGCTATTTCAGAGACCCAATCATGTTGATTGACAATATTCCTATAGGACATCTCGTGTAAAAAAAAAAGTAATTACATGTATTTAAAAAAAATCTCGTGTGTGATTATATATATATAATTACACACAATGAGTATGCCTTTAAGACTAATTACATCGTAATAATTAGTGCAGATCAGACAAGTCTTTATAATATATATACTGATCGAGGTAATTTCGTGGGGAAAAAATCTTTTATTATGTGAATTCTCTACATTTTTTGTCTTATTATACAGCCGTCTTTGCATGGGATCCGTGTTATGGAGTTGTAATTCATTCTTCGAAATTATTATCGTTATAGTATCAAAAGAAATCAGATATATTGATTTAGAGGAAAAAACATAGGGTAAGAAAGTCCGGAGTTCTCATATATAGTGGCGACTTGATCTTCCGATTCTGAAGCTAAATCGTTTACGGCAGGGTCTGGATAACTGAATTGAAACAATATCGACAATATCGTTGTTAAATAGACGGACATGAAGTTAACAGGTTCCCGAAATTAGAAATATTTTAGAAAGCTTCCATGCAGTAAGAGCACATTTATCTTTAATCTGAAGTTCTATCTCAATTTTGAACAGAAACTAACAAATTAATGTCACTGCAAATATCTCTCTGACCAATGAAGATTTAAGGATACAGAACTAGATATACATATCAGTACATTTCGGTAATTTTGGTCTGGTGTTTTAATTGAGAAGCTCGAATTATGCTTACTTTTGCTAATTTTTGCTCATGTCTTTCTGTCATTGAACGAGAAAAATTTCCATTAAATTCATTTTTTTTTTCAAATGGTCATAATATCCATATTTCTAAGATCAGTATTGATACGACATCGATCCTGATGTTTTCTACGTCTTCGCAAACAGTAGGTGGATTGCATGCAAACATTATTTAAAACAGAAGCAAGGTCTAACAAGCTAGCTCATTAAGAAAACTATCTTCCTTGCACGATGATCTTTACCAAGATGTGTAAAACGAGAGCAAAAATTCCTCAAAAATGACTGAAAATCGGACCGCTGACACCGCTCTGGTGGTCACATCCAGCGGCGCTACACTAGCCCTTGGGATTTCTACTCTAGCAGTCTCGCCTGTTGTTGTGGTAGGCAATTTGATGGTGATTTTTGCTATGGCATTGTATAGACGTCGTCTTAATACCCCCACAAACATCTTCATCGTTTCCCTTGCCCTAGCGGATTTGTCTGTGGGGATAACAACATTACCCATTTACGCTTTCCATTATTTCTCCCCAGCTGTGTTCGTGCGATACAAATATCTCTGTATCTTAAAATATTCATCCATCCTGTTCTCTATGAGTTCCTCGATGTATAATTTGACGGCAATAGCAGTAGATCGTTATATTGCTATCCTTTACCCTCTAAGATACACACAATGGATCACGTCATCGATAGCGAAGAGGATCGCCATTGGAACATTTGTCTATAACCTTCTGGTAATGTGCGTACCTTATGTTTGGCATAACAACAATGTTCTCTTGAGAGAGTGTGACTTTTTTAAAGGTTTGCCGAAGATATACACAGTTTTTGTCTCATTCGGAACCATATTTATTCTTCTCACTGTCTGTTCTATTTTGTACGCCAGGGTTTTCCACGTCATCATTCGAAACCGGAAAAGAAATATAGAAAGACAATCTAGACAGACCAACATGAGAAAGATCCAGCTTAAAAAAGAGACTAAGTCAGCAACAGTGATGGGATTCGTCTTGTTCCTGTTTTTCGCCTTTTGGTTTCCGTTTCTGATCTGTGGACCCCTGAGATACACAGACCTGAGCCCCGAGCTGGTGGAGCTGATTAAGAGTATAAGTGTACTCATCGCCCAAAGCAACTCAGCAGTGAACCCCATCATATACTGCTGGCTAAAACCCGACTTCGCCTGGGCCTTCAAGAACATGATCCAGCGATGTTATTTCCGAGGGCACAGGGATAGTTCTCAAAATAGAATGAAAAGAAATAGAGCTACAGGTGTGAAGAGAAATGCTGCAACATATTCTTCTTCCGTTAATACAACAATCCGCATCATTAGCAGACTTCATTCTCGTATAACACAGGAAAATAAATCGAACTCCTGTCATCGTCAAGAAAATATAGAAATGCACTTATAACAATATTGGCCGTAATTATTATGCATATGTAACAATATGTTCATATGCTCTCATTTTATTAGGTGTAGTGTACTCACAATTTGCGGTTGATACAGATTTCATAATTGTGCACGTACGTAGTGCTAGTATCCGGGACTACTTTCCATGCGAGTAATGATTTATAACTGGATATTGTGTAACATTTTGTCATGTACTCTTATAATACTTAATGATAAAATTAATCTTAAGGTATGTCACTCGTGAAATTAGTTATATGAAGGATTTTTTAAGAAGTATATATATTTTAGAGTTAAGTACTCATATAGCATGACTCAAAATCGCAAAGAAAATGGGGGGTCAGTGTGCATCTTACGAGCTACGGTACAATTAAGTTGACCTTTTAGCACTTAAATTGTAACTCTTTGGTTAATCACTTTAATATTCATCATATTTTATCAGATGTTATTATGGCAATAAATATAATCTTATTTTACGTAGAATTGTTTGAAAAATATTTATCATTGAATAATTCATGCAAATTAATGCTCTTAAATTATTGTGTGATCTTTTTGCACTAAAACTTGGGTTGGGACAGTTTACGCTTTATAAATAGCGAAGCGGTTTATAAAAAATAATGCGTAACCTGTCCCAACACAGGTTGAACAAGTATAACTTGCGTAACTATTAAAGTCATATATGGCGTATTTTTTATAAGTTCGGACTAACTAGAATTAAAAAGATCTTTCTGTTTGTTTTATTACTTTATATAAAGATATAGGACTTTCGTGTAATTTACACAATTCAAATTAGTCGTTCGCGTGGCGCAGTGTTTAGAGCGTTCGCTCTAGAGTCGCGGAGTAAGGAGTTGATCCTCACGTCGCGGGTTCGAATCCCACTGTGGGACGTGGAGACCGGTCTTTCGGATGAAACCGTATAAACCGAGGTCCCGTGTCGCAGTATGTGCTGGCACGAAAAAGATCCCTCACTGCTCAATGGCCCTGAGTACCGAGTATAGGTCAAAATTTGCAGCTCTCCACCGGCAAGTGGTGGCGTTTCCATATGAGTGAAAATTCTCGAGAGGGACGTTAAACAATAAACAAACAAACAAACATAAAAATCAAATTATAGAAACATGAGGTTATTCAAGTTCAAAATTGATGAAAATTTTAATTTGAACGTAAATAACATACATGTATATCACGTTTATCAGCACTCAATTTCTTATTTTTATTTTTTATCTCAGATACGCCATATATAACTTTACATTTATTCCTTATAATTTAATTTTCCATCATTAAGTGTAAAAAAAAAAAAAAAACAATTTCCCTTGAAGAATGCTTTCAAATTGTACAAATTTTAAAATGTAACATTTAAGTTAGTATAAAACACCCATTTAATCTATTTTAAGTAATTTCTTAAAAAAGAGTAATATCCCTATATTGTCAATAATCAATCTTCTTTGTATAAAAACAATAATAAACTGTGACATGTTTTCCTCGTATTTTCTTTAAATATTAGAGACATTTTAATATATTGGTCACTTGGGAGCTTACATTTTAGAATGTGTTTATGCTGTCTAAATGCGTTATAACAGTCTGATATTTAATGCAGTGTAACTTTTGATCCATAAATAGTAGAGGGCTGATATATGGACATATATATATGTATATATATAATGGCCTAACAATTCAATCAATCTGTTGATTTTTTATAAAAATTGAATTATACATTTTCCCTTAAGAGAACTTAAAGTGTAGCATATTAACATGTGAATTTTCAATTCCGGTGCTACTTATGTCCTAGTTTTACATCATATTTTACTCAAATTTACCAGTATCAATATATTTTACTGAATTTTAGTAACAAAAAGGTTGCCTTTATAAAAAGCATAGCACAAGTTTGCAATAGATCAATTGATAATTTTTAAATAAGCCACATTCTCAAGTCAAATGTCTGATTTCACAATCTTCTTACAGGGGTCTCATAGGCCATATTTCAAACTATGGGGGGCAAAAAATGTGCGGTTGAATTTCTTTCATATTACATATAAAGAGAGATTTTGTATCCTAGAACAAAGTATCAAAGTTAATTTTAAAAAAAATTGAATTTGGGGAAAACTTTGGCCTATCTTTTGTGTACTACCCTAAGCAGATTGATTCTTTTTTGACGCAAGTCACTGTGAGGAAGACAACACAGGTAATATATTATAAACAAATTAAATGGCGCATTTCAACCATAATTAAATTATATCTATAATAATACTCCTAATCACAGATGCTCCAGATCACACTAACCGCTGCCAAACAGTGATGTACGATGCGCATTTTGCATCAAACCTATAAAAGTCGTAAGTTTAACAGAATGTAGTCGATGCATGAGCGGTTTTCTATAGTTTAATATGTTAGATAAATGTTATTTCGTTGTTTTTTGGTAACATAGGGTCTAAGCTAGGACACCTATAAGCTACGAACAGAAAGAAAACGATCGAAATGAAAAAAAAAAAACAACAAACAAACAAACAAACAAAATGGAACCATGTACCCGTCCATGGTGAAGCTTATGTGGAAAGTTCTATCTGCATGGCAGTTGGTAGTCAGGAAGTCTACTTTTTATTTCATTTTTACAAATTTTATACTTACATGTATATTTATCCCGCGAACATGTCAACAGATAAACTGAACATTAGAACTTTGATTTTAAGGTTTAAAACAAAAACTTTAAAGAAAATGCTAATTGTTGTGCCAGTTGCCATGAACACTGAAAATTAATTAGCTTTCCATGCATTTTGTCAATACAAGAAATTTAGTATCGGAAAATTATATCATTATTTGTTCCTTGGAGAAGTCTGGTACTCATCTGATACATGTATGTCTATTGATCGAGAGAGACTTTTATAGATTTTAACTATACGTATACATGCTATCGACCGAATAAGGAGGATGCAGCCGGAAAATTATGGACAAAAAAACAGAAAAAGGTCTCCGAAAAAAAATTAACAGACAATAAGAAAAAAGGAGGAACTTACCATATGGCATGTCAAACATTGCAATATTCGATCTTTTTCATTTGTATTGAATAATTTTCCATTTATATTCTATATTATTTAATTCCATCTTTATTTCCTCTTTTCAGAGATTTTTATAACACAAGTCTTCTAATTTACATGTTATATCATGAAATTGTAAATTGACAAATAAAAAAAATGAAAAGAAAAAGGAAAGACAAACGTATTTACAAGATCATTAGTATACTGGAAAAAAATTATGTTTGAGTGGAAGCCCTGCTAAAAAAGGCAGAGGCTTCGCAGATAAACTTTGCACAACAACAAATAAATTCTTTTTGATCATGTTTGTCTTTCAACGTTAACGTTGGAAGGCCACCTAATAATGATAAATACAATTCATAATCACACACGTGAGTTAATTCTATATATAAATGAACATCAAATTTATTCACTACGCAATCAAAAAATGAGTTTCTGATATGCTCTGTGGCGGAGCACCACAACACAGCATGCCGTAATGGATCGCTATATATTTTTTCACAGAGAAAACATGTTTGTTGGCATAACTGAGGCGTTACAGTCCATAATTTTGTGACAAATTTTATCATTCTGATTTCATCAAAAGAAAAGTTGAATTTGTATATCCTTGCTGGAGTTATATGCTTCGATGTAAATCTTGAAAAAATACGGAGTCTCTGTCCGTTTAGGTTTTGGTTGTCCAGGATAAATTTTGATAGTGATGGATTGATTGGCTATAATTTTCCATTTGTATTGTATAATTTTTCATTTGTATTGTATATGTTTATTTGTATTCTATAATTTTCCATTTGTATTCTATAATTTTAAATACAAATGGTAAAGTATGCAATACAAATGAGAAATTATACAATACAAATGGAAAATTATACACAATAAATTGAAAATTATACAATTCAAATGGAAATTTACACAATACAAAAATTATACAATAGAAATGAAAAAAAATACACAATACAAATAAAAATTATACAAATACAAATGGAGAATTATTGAATACAAATAAAAAAAAAAATACAATGCAAATAAAAAATTTAGAATACAAATAAAAATTTTACAATGCAAATGAAAAATTATAGAATGGAAAATTTTACTATACAAATGGAAAATTATACAATACAAATGGAAAAGATCGAATATTATATTGCAACGTTTGACATGCCATATTACCAAACTAAAAAAAAATAAACTTGGGGGGGGGGGGGGTAGAAACAACTCTCCTTTCTACAAATATTGTTTTTGATACATTTACGTGTGACGGTTTGACTGTACTGCAATAAAAATTGGGGAGGAGGGGAGGACAACCAATCTTTCAATGAAAATTTTCATACTAAATCGAGAAAAAAGAATATACTGGGGGAAAAGTGGTGACTTATATTCAATGATAATTAATGACAATTTAGATTAATCTGAATAAAATTTTGTTTAAAGTTATGAAAATTAATAGAGGGTTGAAAGGAGAGTTTTTGTACTTCCAATAGAGTCAAATGCATTGAAAAGGCACAATTTGTGTGTAAAAATTAATTAACATGAATGTACATATCGGTATATGTCTGTTGTATCAGTTATTTCTTTTTCTTCCTTTGTCTACTCTGTGTTCCTTTTTATCCAATAAAGAACATACTTTATATGTGCTTAAATAAGAAAAGAAGGACAAACAGTTTAAGAAAATTGTACAAACGATTTTTCTAAATCTTTCAAACGATTTTTTTTTTAAATTTTACAAACGGTTTTCTACTATAACAAATTTCTAAATTGTACAAACTAATTTCTAAATCGCATATATATATATATATATATATATATATATATATATATATATATATATATATATATATATATATATATATATATATATATATATATATATATATATATATATAAAAACATAACTTTATATTCAATTCAATTTGTTTACAAGAACCATGTCGGCATACAGTCATGAACAATAATAACATAAAACAAATTAACACATTTAATATATGCATATATACATTTAAAGTTACAAATGTGAGGTAAACAAAATACATGTAATGTAGAGTATATTGAATTTTTCACATTATATTTCTAACACATGTACAGGTGCTTGCATGGGGACGGGAACACCCCCCCTCCCCCGGTGTTCCGTACCTCAAGGGTTCTTTGACTTTTTTTTTTAAATAAAATATTTTCTATGACATATTCACAAAGTATTACAACTGAAAAATCCAAAATATAACCTAAAACTAGCCTTTTATATCTATATTGCATCTACATTGGTCATACTTTGAACAGTATGGAACCAAATGTTTTTCATCTTCAATAAACAATTTACATGAATAGCATAGACGTTTTCCTCTAGGAATAGGGGGTTTACAGTATCTACCCGTTTCAATATACAAAGGATGGGCAGTGATCCTTAATAACAAGGTATTTTATTTATAGTCAGGCCCGTAGGAAGCAATTTCAGTTGGGGGGGGGGGCACAGCCATACATTTTCAGTTGAGGGGGCACTATCAACTACCAAAAATTTCTTGACAAGCAAAAAAAAAAAAAAAAGAAAAAAAAAGGTCATCAGACGTTTTTATTGAGGGGGCACAGGCATATAGTATCCATATAGTATCTATGTTTTCTATAGTAATCTATATATCGGCAAAATTATTGGGGGGGGGGCACGCCCCCCCGTGCCCCCCCCCCCCCCGGTTCCTACGGCCATGATAGTATAGTAGATCATCAGCTGAGGAGTGGAGAATAACTAGACAAAGGACGATAACTCTTCCAAATGCAATCATATTACGACATTATGTATCAAAAAATATATATACTTCGTTTATTTGCTGACTTTGTTGTGCAGTTTAATAATTATTCATACAATTTATTTGATTTCATTTGCATAACTATCAACATACAGAAACTTTTTGTATAAACAATTGATACTTTTTTTTCTTACCAAAAACAAATCACACTTCCGGTAAGACCCGAAAAAAAGAAAGATGGCAGAGGAAAATTGCGGAAGAGAAAATTCGAAAATGAAAGTCACATGCCAGGCTCCCATGTATTATTTAGCTTTAACAAAGTTTTAGAAACATGTTTCTCAACGATTTGTTTATAGGATAGGGTAAATTGATGTTTTATTTTGTTACAAACACACGCTGTAAAAAGACCACTCCGTAACACCCAGTTTTTATTCGTTCGTATAAAATGAGTTCTGCATCGGGACGCCATCGAGCGTCCACACGGCAATACTCTGCAGAAGAACAGGCTTTAAACCAGATCTCTAAAGAGGTGAGTAAACCGTTAATATGTTAGCAATGAAAGGCTCTGGTAAATTCTGCACTGATTTTGGACTGAACCACATGCATGTACTTTGCTTAATCATTGTTAATGTTTGTTTAGCAAGTAGAGCAATACAAGCACCTGTGAAAAATACTTTTAGGAGGGACAGTTTAGGTAGATGAAGATAATTTTATCAGATGTAAAGATGTAACTTTCTTTTATCTTTCAATCTGACTTTGAAAAACAAACACCAGATTTTTTTTTTTAAACATCTAATTGATGTGTTTAAGCTTTTAAGTACAGTTATGCATATAATTGAAAGCTTATGTCAGAGAATTTTGTCTCAAAACTATTTGAAAAAAAAAAGAAAAACATCATGAATATGGGGATGAACAATCAAAGATATCACTTATAATGAATTGATTCTTACATCACATGTACATCAAAGTGATTTTTATTCCCTGTGGCTTTGAAATAATATATTCTAAACTTAATGGATATATAATTAATTACGTTTATAGTGAAGCAAAATCATATGTCCCTGGACTTTTTTAAAGAATTTTACTTTATTTCATTTTTTTTCTGAGAGTACTTAAGATGTACACAGTGAGTTAAACTTGTACCAAACTTACTAGTTCCTGAGATCTAAACTTCAAAATAGGTGGACAAGAATTCTCTCCACAATTCAGATCTCTTTATTATGTTGTTAGCGAGAGCAGGAAGCTCTGAAAACAGCATCTCGGTGAAGAGAAAATTCAGATGGTCTGAACATTGACCAAACTAAATTTTTTTTCTGCAGAAAAATGGATACATGTACAATTCACCATAAATTGCATATGGTTGTCAAAAGTATGTTTTTACAAAATCAAGACAGAAGTTTAAAAAAAAAATCCAGATAAATAATAGATAGATAGCTCTTAGTTAAGAATTTGCACTTTTCAGACTGTGTTATGGAAATGCAACTAGCCTAGTAGGAATGTTAGAAAATCCCAGTCTTATATAAGTCAAGTCTTAGTGCGTCTAACCCTTAACTTTTCAAATTTAATTTGTGTGGTTTGAAGTGACTAAGTTAAAAGTGTATCAGATAAATGTATTTGGTAATATCCAGTAATAAGTAAACAACTGCACTTGCCCACAACTGCGGCAATGTCATACGTATTATTTTAGTATATATATGCTCCAGACGCTCAGTCATATCCTACTTGTATTTTTAAGAGCTAACTTTAAATATAATGATGTTTGTTTGACAATTCCAACTGATTTCAGTAAGAATATGAATATTTGCTTACCCCCTGAAAATTATTTTTAAAGGACACATTTATACAGTAGAATATTCTCAAACACAACTATATTGTATAACAGTCCTAGGAAATGTCAAACTGACCCAATAGTCCAACCACTATAATCTCAGTGTATGTGGATGTAGTAATAACTATAAGTTATTGGTCACTTTTCCAGGTTAGACAGTTAAATTGACCTGAGTTTGAGGTGACATTGAGTATCACAAAGATTAAAATCCAATGATTTGCCTGCATGTTCTCAAAACTCAGTGTTGCAGAATATGGTCCTCTATATTTTTAAACTGTCAACTTGTGAAGGTGATACAATATTTGAGTGTTTTAGTTCCAGTAATTTTAAACAGAAAGTTACAACCACCTAAATCCTTAAGATTTTTATGTGTTTAAGGAAAAAACTTTAAAGGAAAGGGGAAGTTAAAAAAAGAAAAATTAAAAGCAGTGAACATGGTAAAAAGAAAGTGAATTGAATATACATGTATATAAAATCACTTTTGAACACAGGTAAATATGTTATTTATTATAAACATGATAAAAGATAAAAAGGCATGATGCCACATCTGTATTTTTTCTTTTTATTTTAACCAATATATCTTTTGTACATCATGTATAAGTAACTTTTCCTTCCAAAACTCCTTAAGAAGCTTGCTTATCCTTTAGTCCAAATTTTCTCTTGTTATCGTTTTAATTATGATCATACATGTATACATATACTGTATAGAAAAATATACAACGCAAGTATTGGAAATGTGGACAAACATAGGCAAAGATTTGCCTTTTGTATAATGTGTTTGTCTCATCATTGAATTCTTTCATCAAAAAACATTTAGATTATGATTTATTAGATATATATAGATTTATTATCTGTTCAACAAATGTCTATGTTTAATATGTAACTCATTGTTGCCAGAAATAGAAATCATACAAGATAGTGAGTTTGTCAGGTTTGTGATAACTATGTCGTCGTAACCGTTCCCAGTGTTACTTGTAATGAATGTCTACTGGAGCCATTGTCTGATGATCAGCTTAGCTAGGCAGAATTATAAGTTCTGACTTCTGTAGTCCCAGATGTCTACTTGACACCACACACTAACATTTAAACAGATGATTAGGAGAGGGTTTTGATTTTATTTTCAGCTTTAATCAATATCAGATTTTATTTTGTTTGAAGATTCCATGAATTTCATTTTTTTTTTCTAGTGGGTTGTAGTAAGAGTAATTTATATTAATGGGAAAGTTATAAAATTGACATTGAATATGCCTTGCCTTGTTTGAGTGATGGACTATATGGATTATTTATCAACACAATATACTGACTTATCCTGTTAGTTAGGTGGATAACACTTAACAGTGAATTGATATAAGTTCTGGTGTAAGACAATCATAACCAGGCAAACTTTGGACATAAGCCCTCGATCAGTACAATATAATGTCATTAACGAGGGATCTGGCGTGGCCAACTTTATCACAAATAAACACACCTGCATTGCCTTATCATAGCTGTATGCAATTAATTCATTCAGGAAACTTAATAAACTAGTATCATAAATGAATGGTTTGGTGGATCTAAAGATTTTGCATCAGGAAAATCACTATGATTTTAGCAAGTGTTTACTGTGAGAAATTAAGAAATAAATAGATGGGTGGATCTAAGCTTTTAAGTAGTGAATTGATACCCAAGTGCTATTGATTTATTGGGTAATTCATGAACATGGATAGGTGGATCTGCGGTTTTACTTTACCATATTGCAGCTAACATATTGTAGCTAAATGCACTTCATTCATTTAGGGAAGTAATAAGTGTATTGCTGGGTTGATTTAAAACGTTTCTGAAATCTTAATAGGTTTGAAAGAATGTTGAAGTGCTCAGCATTGAAAAATTTGATTCATAGATCATGTACATGAATGTGAATAATGAATGAAGTTTTATTGAGGAAACTGGTTTATTTTGATGAGCTAGTATATATAAATTTATATAAATATTTATTTAATCATGTTAATTACTTTTTATGGAGTTATTCATGTTATTCAGGAAACAGTTCTCAATGGTTGATGATCTGAGAATTACTTCTGAGGATTAAGATTAGGCAAGATTTAGACACATGTTAAAGTGGAACTCCAGGGTTAAAACACTTCCTAGTAGTTTTCCATTAATGTTGATAAAGTAGAAAATTTTTGTTCCACCCTTCCCTGAAATCAAAAGATTGGACTAGAGTTATTGATCCTTTTCTGTGTGTGTCTGCATGTTGACTGACCTTAACTTTGATTTTTAGATCACATGAGCTGAAAGCTCAAGTAAACTTTTTTGTTCACCTTTCTCCACCATCCATATGTCTGTCCACCCATCTCTCTGTAAACTTTTCATATTTTTGACTTCTGACTTCAGAACCACTGGGCCAAATTTAACCAAACTTGCTATAAACATGATAAAACATCATTGTGTGTAGGGCATTTAAGTTTCTTCGAATGAAGGGCCATGTCTTCTTTCAAGGGGAGATGTTTTAATTAAGATTTAGTTAAAATTTAATGGCATATCTTTAACATGTTTTAAAAAATCTTCTCAAGAACCACTGGACCAGAAAAGAGGAAACTTATGTAAAAACTTCATTTCATATTGTTACAATAGATTCAAGTTTGTTTAAATCTTGGCCCTTGAGGGTAGGAAGGGGCCACAGTGCCTCAAATTAGCAATGTGAGCCCTGGGCCTGTTCTTTTTTTTTTTTAAAGATTGAGCCCTGAAGTTAGGTTGGGGTTGAAATCTCAGATTGAAATTTTACATATGTACAGGAAAAAATCTTCTCCAGAATAGCAGGGCCATGCTGATTGTATTGATATTGAAGCATTCCAATATTGTGTGGATTCAGCTTTGATTAAATCATAGCTCAGCTCCCTTGTGGCTAGATTTTGGTCCACAAATTCATAGAGTCGAAATTTTCATGGAATTAAAAGGGGAAAGAAATTTAAAAACAAAATTGTCTGTCATGAAGAAAAGAATGACCAAAGTAACTCAGGTGAGCATTGTGGTTCATGGGCATCTTGTTGACATATCTGTTTATTATGACTTAATTTACAACTGATCAAAGTGAAGGTCATGAAGATGGATCACCTTAATCAAACATGTTAAATGTAAGGTACAAATCTGACATTATACTAACACAAGGGTAGCATATTTGTCTGACAAGTTTGTCACATTCTTTTGTGTCTTAGTGTAAGTACCTGGACACATGAGATAGGTACCATCTCAATGATTTCAAGTTACAGTAAGAAAGAATATGAATTTTTGCAGAAAACCATATGAAACAAAATATCTCAAACTTCAATATCTCGAATACCATGCATATGTGGAAGTGAGTTGAAAGTTCTAAGCACTTTTGCTTTATGTGTTTTAAATCTCAGTATCTCACTCCTTGGATATCTCAAAGTTTTATTCAAATCCAAGATGCCCCAATCAAGTTCAAGATAATGAGGTTTGACTGTATTTATTTCAATGCCAAGGATTTTCCAGCAAGTTGAAAGTTAAAGGGTGAATATTTTATTTTAAAATGAGGAATAAATGACATTCTTTACTCTTTGATAGGCTGAGTCCAGACTTGCTGCAAAAAGAGCTGCTCGGGCAGAAGCTCGCGAAATCCGACTCAAGGAAATTGAGCGGCAACAAAAACAGGTGAGTACGACAAAGAAAATTCAAAATTAGCCTTCATGGAATTTTCTGTACATTTTTGTATGTATTTTGTGTGATTTTGTATGTATTTTAGCATGTTTTAAATGGTACTGTGAAACAACTAATTTTTGAGGGGGTTAAATTTTCATGTGTTTATGTCATTATGAATTCATGTCCTCCACGAAATGTAAAACGGCAAAGATACAGTTTAGATTTATTGCTTTAGCCACCAAATCAAATCCCCACTAACATACAATTTCTCAAACCATGAAAATTTGACCCCCACAAACAAAGGATGATTTTACAGTATTTCATATGTTTGATGGCTACTGACATAAAATCTTCATATCGGTTAAATACAGTTGTTTTATCATTTGTGACAGCTGAAATGAAAAGAAATGTTGTAATTAACTCTAATTTTTTATTTTCCTGGCTGCTCAGCTGTTTAATACGTTACACAGAGTATCTGGTTTTCACAAATTTGTAAAACTTCGTATGTTTAATTAAATAAATAAAAAGTGATTCTTTGACAGTTTTCATTAAGCCAGTGATATGATTTTGCATCCAAATGTTCCTAATTAATATGAGACTGAAAAATCTTTTAAAAAGGAGGAAGAGAGACAAAAATCCCATGATGTGTCTTCAGATAGCCAATCTAGTAGGGTAAGTATTTTATAAATAAGTCGAATCCCTTGATGTGTCCTTTAGATAGCCAATCAAGTTTGGTAAGTATGCTATAAATAAGTAAAATCCCTTGATGTGTCCTTCAGATAAACAGTCCAGTAGGGTAATTATTTTATAAGTAAAATTCCTTGATGTGTCCTTCAGATAACCAGTCCAGTAGGGTAAGTATTTTATAAGTAAAATCCCTTGATGTGTCCTTCAAATAGCCAGACTAGTAGAGTAAGAATAAATCTTAAAGTTTAGCAAATGTAATTAAAGTGTAGAAAAAATAAACAGTAAATATCATTTCCTTCCCTAGATGAGAGTAATTTAAGGTTGATTTATGATTCAGGATTAAACACCATGTTCACAAGGTTCTGATAATTTTAAATCACATGAAAGAGTCCTTGATATGAGTTATAACTTGTGGTTGTGTGATCATTTAAGGGATTTCCTTGAACTGTTGATCTTTTTTATTTAGTTCTTATTTAGAACAAAATTTTTAACATTGGTATAAATCACTTCTGATGAACCACTGTTAAGTACACTTGCTACATTCAGCTTAGTAATATATATTTTTAAATATTTTAACAAGAATGAATTATGCAGCATGTATTGCCTATTAAAGCTCTACCTACGTTTGGATGCTTATTTAATGAATTGGTATCCAATTAACAAGTTCAGTGTATAATAACATTTTCCCAAGAGTTTTCTGGGAATCAGGTCTGCTGTTAAAAACTTTATTTACGGAAAATTTATTGGATGAATTTTTTTAATGTGACTTCTAGATAACAGACAATGGCAAGATAAAAACCATTTTTGTATGAAATATAATATTTTGTAAATTGTGAAATTGATTTTTTTCTGGACATTTTTTGTTAATTAGGTACGAAATGATTACAATGATTCACGGAGAGGAAGTGACGATTCGAGCTCCGCAGCTGAAGAAATGGACACATCGCGTGACCATCAGAGAGAAATGAGGGTAGGTCAAACTATTATATGATTTGTATTCCTAGTTTTATATGACCATCAGAGAGAAAATTATCAAATGATTTGTGTATATAGTTTCATCTTCATTGATTGTATTTGATTCTTGGTACATATGGTTCCATGTAGAAAAAAAAAATCTATTGGTTTTGTTTCCAAATAAAAATATTTTACTGCATAAGTATTAATGTTGTATAAAGGTTTTCAAGAGCTTTGCTGAATCAAGTTTTTAAAGACATTTCATGGCTCTTGATTTGTCAAAAATTTGGACCATTGAAGGGCTCCATTCCCTATTCAAAAAAATTTACCTTTTGTCCAAATTAATATGCTAATTTCCCAGTAGTCACTATACCCAAAAATAAAAAGAACTTGTATTTGGATATTAATATATGATAAATAAACTTGTACTTATATTCCCAAATATTGCAAAACAGATATGTAGTTGAGAACAAACACCAGAGCAGATACCCCAAAATATAAGAAGTTTTAATGTATAATAATGATTTTGCCAAAATTCCTTAAAAGGTGTTAATTTTTCCAACTTGAACAGCCCTGGCCCAAGTCCCCAAAAGTGGCATTAGAGCCCTGTATTTAATTAATGATTAAATGATTTGTTTTCAAATGAAAGTGACATTTTCATATCAACCTGATGTAGTTCTCCATATTTGCATATTGCATATTCGTGTCAAGAACATTTACATTAATTTCCTGACAGAATATTATTGTATGCAAAATTTGAGAAACATTTGTTCAGGTTATATGGTCAAACCCATTTGTAGGAAGTCTTATATATACATGTATATATATCATATTTTTAAAAAATACTATTTATTTATACCTTAACCAGGCCAAGATACGAGAGATGGACGAAAAATATAAAAAGGCAATGATGATGAATGCCCAGCTAGACAATGAGAAACACAGCCTCGTTTACAAAGTAGAACTGATGAAAGATCAGATGGAAGAAATGGAGGAATCCTTCACACAGCTACAAAGAGAATACAAGGATAAGTGTAGGGTGAGTGTAGCACACAGAGGGAATACAAGGACAAGTGTAGGGTAATACTCAAAGGGAATACAAGGATAAGTGTAGGGTGAGTGTAACACACAGAGGGAATACAAGGATTAGTGTAGGGTGAGTGTAACACACAGAGTATAAACAAAGATAAGTGTAGGGTGAGTGTAACACACAGAGGGAATACAAGGATAAGTGTAGGGTGAGTATAAGAAAGGAATACTAGGTTACATGTAGGAAGAGTGTAACACATGGTAATACAAGGATTACTGTAGGGTGAGGGTAACATGCAAACAGAATGTAAACACTTAAGGTAAGAATTTAATAGCTACCCAATTTATATGGTATAAACTGGGTTAGGACAGTTTACGCTTTTTAAACCACAAAACGTTTTTGATGCAAATCATTGTGACGTAGGCAACCCAATTTATACAATATAAAGTAAATTTTTCATCCATTCAAATACCATGTTATAACCAGAATTAAATTATTTATATATATAAACACAGTAATACAGGAACAGAATTAAAAGATAATGTAAGTGTAGGGTGAGTCTAACACAGCTACTGAGGATTCTCAGGAAAAAGTTAAAGAGTGAACGTGGTGTAAAACAGAGTATTTGATTTGACCTGTTTATTGAATTGAGATGGGCAAATATTTTATTATTCAACTGACTTGAAAATTTTATTTCTCAGTTAATGTATACAAATTAATAAATTGTGACCAAATGTTATTTATGTCTTTGGTCAGATATTTCATAACTTAAGGCAGTTCATAGTTAGGCATTCAGTAATTTTGATAGAGTTGGATATTTCTATACATTGTCTTTAATTTATTACAGGATTTAGAAATGCAGAAGAGAAATGTAAAAGATATGGAGTTTGATTATAATGTAGCAAAGGAACAATTGGCAATAAAGGAAAAGTTAATACAGGTAAGGTCAGATGATACAAAGTATAGAATTAGTTACTGATGTGTTCTTTTTTTTTTTGCCCTTCATACACAGTGTGATTCATAGCCCCCTTTACATGTATCTAAAGGTTCATATGTGACATATTTTAAATTTGTTGCTATTAACATGATTCAGTTTAAATTGAAGAAAGATACTTAACATTTCAAATAACAATAGAATAATATAAGAAATACCAAAATACATTTTTTTTTCCTTTTTAAGTTAAAATTCTATATTTGAAATATATAAAAATAACAAAGTAATCATGGTAATTGGTACAGCAATTAACTTCTTTATTCAGATTTCCATTTGGTAATGCTTTGGTGCATGGAAAATTTCATTCAACAAAAAGAAATTTTTAAAATGGGAAATTATTCATTGATTTATTAATGATATCAAGATGTAAGACAAGGATAGTGTTTTTAAGGAAAAGAAGACAGAAATTGACAATTCTCTGTGTGTGTGTGTGTTTGTGTTTTATTTCTTTCTGAGATGTAAAAATATGTGAATGTTTTCTGAAATCCTTTGTTAACAAAAAAAAAAAAAAAAATCAAATATTGACTGAAAAGTACTTTGTTACGTTATTCTTGCACCCTCTTTGTTAAAACCTTTAAATTTTCTTTACCTTATCACAATTTCAGTAAACAGAAAACATGTTTATCAACCAAAGCTAACTGAGTTTGATTAGTGCATTCACATCATTGAAAGTTCATTCTGTTTGATTCAGATTCAAATGTTTTTTCTTTTAGGAAAGTGGTTTAGTTATAGTCTCTTCTGATGAGGGAGTTCTCTCCCTTGAAAAATGTCTTCCAAATGGTCAGATTCCTCAGGGAGGGGGTCTCCTTATTTCTTCTGATGCCGCGGAACTGCTAGAGAAAGCTGGTGTTGGCTCATTAGGTAAGAAAAACAGAGTTCTGTCAGGAATCTGGATATGTTAAATACACATTAAGCAATTTTTGGTCACTGAGTCACTCAGGTGACCTATCGCTATCTATTTTCATCTGTTGTTGTTCATCGTCTGCTGTTTGACAATCATGAACTTTTTACCAATTTCAAATTCTTTTCTGGAATTATGGAACCAATTTCAACCAGTTTTGGTGTACAGCATCTATGGGTGAAGAGGAACAAAAATTTTGAATTTCATGATTTCTGCCTCCCTGGGGCCTGAGGGTGGAGCCAAGACCATAAAAATTAAAACTATCTTCAAAAATCTTTTTCTTTTCTCTTGGACATTAAGCAGTGCAATTGTTAATATGATTATAATCAGCAATGAGTCCTCAAAACAAAATTCTTGGCCCCTGGGTCTATTGTTCAGGCCTTAGGATGGAACTTAGTTGGTCATATATTGAAAATGCATTGCATCTTTGAAAGCCATCTTTTCCAGTCATGGACATTAGGTAAACTGTGACATGATTATAAAGAAATCTTGGCCCTTTATCAAAGTTATGGAATTCATTGCCCCAGGGTCCATGTTTCAGGCTGAAGGGTAAGCTAAGTTGTTCATATATGAAAAATTCATTGCACGTCTTTGAAAATCTTCATCTCATGGCAGGGCTTTCATAAAATGCCAGTAGCCATTACTAAACCCAGCTGAAATCATAATTGAATCGGCCAAAATTATTTGATGGAGAGAATTTTGATTAGTAACATTTAAATGATAGATATTATATTGCCCTTAGTCCAATGACAAAAATGTTTCTGATTGATAAGTCAGCGGTGATCAATTAAACATTTGAATATGTAGAGCACAGGAGGTTATGTAATGCATCTCATTGATTTTGATGAAATAAAAAGTATACCGTAAAATCCCTTTTAACTGCCCCAGGCGCTTAGAAAATTGCAAAAAATGGGCAGTTATTTTGGTATTCTCGTTATAATATTTAATGTCATATTTTAACTTCAAGAAATCTTTCAAAAAAAATTAAATTCAGAGAACCACGAAATATTTGTCTTACTTTCCTTTACCATAAAGTACTCCACCCAAATTATGTTTAATGATTTATTTTTCCACCAAAAAAAATCAGAGAATACACAAGGAGAACAAATTTTATAGGTTACTTTCACTTTCAAAAATGCATAATGATTAAGTCGTTCTAAGAATCTTTCACTTTCAGGAATTTTTTACATACTAGTTACCCAATAACCAAGTTTCATTTTCACTTTCTTCAAAAAATGTTGGATTTTCAATACAATTCTAGATATTTTTAATCACAGTACATGGGGCTCTTATTTCCTGACAATTGAAAAAGGCCTAGGGGGCGCTTATAGGGGCAGGGGCGATTAATAGGGATTTTACATTATTTCAATACCATGAAGAAAAGTAGCAGATTTTCTTCACCCCAACCTTATTTTTCAAAAATGAACAAAAATAACAATTTCTCTTTCCTAAATTTTATATTTCCATGTGAAAAGTAAAAACATTCTTGAAAATATTCACCAAAGAAGATGGTGTGAAGAAAGGGAACATTCAGAAGTAGAAATAATATACACTTGAAGCACATCATTTGGAAAATAATCTGGGAGATAATGTGCAAGTTGAAATTCATGGCCACCTGGCCCATGTTTTAGACCCCAAGGTGGGGATAAGTTAGTCATATATTGAAAATTAGATTACAACTTTGAAAATCTTTTATCAAGAAAATAAATCAGGCAAAGTGATAGCATAATTATAATGAGTACTTAACCCATTTCCATAAAAGTAACACTGAAGCCTCCTGGATGCAGGGTTCAGCCCCCAGGGTATGGATAAGTTGGTCATATATTGACCTACAGTACTCATTTGAAAATCTTATTTTCTTGTGGATATGTGGTTGGCATGATTATAAGGAGCACTCTTAGCTCTCTATAAAAAGTATAAAATTGTATGACAGGGATCGTGCCGAGGGTTGGACTAAGTTAGTCATAAATTGAAATGTTCTATAGTAAAACTTGTCTTCTTGACTCCTGAACATAGGAGACCACTGTAAGAATATTATATTGATTATAGAGTTCTCACCATACAGTAAAATTTCTGTTACATGTGTGTTGTCAGGTTTAGGTTCAAAAGGCTTATAGCATGAAAAACTCATGATACTCAGGTGACCATTAAGGCCCATGGGCCTCTTGTTTTGTAAATCATAAGGAAAGCATAGTAGTAGTTTCTAATTTTAAAATTTGATTTATATTTGTGCAATTATTTTGTAGGGTAAAATGAAAAGAATTACATGGATCTTCAGCTGCAGCTACATTATATAAGAAATTTCTCTTAGTTTTTGAAAAATGTCAATTATGAATGAAACTAATTTTTTTTTTTTTTCAGATGATAGATTACGTTCCTTTTTAGAGGAAAAAACTAATTTGTTGAAAGAGGTGAGTTTGTAAAAAAAAAAAATTAATAAATTTGATTTGTATACAGTATTAAAGTATGGGGAGAAAGACAGACTAAGTGTATCAGGAGGCAGGGAAGTACAAAAAGAAATTCATAAATGTAGTCAAATTGTTGCTTCTGTCAGATATTGACCAGATTGAAGGATATTATGTTAGATATTAGAGGAATCAAGAAATCATTACTTTTATATTTTGAAGAAAGTTATTACTATTTGTTTTTAATTTCAGATAAAAGGTTTAAAGGATGAGCTGGAAGAAGAGAAGTCTAAAAGAGAACACAAAACATCCTCTGTACCACAAATCAATGGTCCAGAGATGCAACTGTATGAAGTTCAGCGTAAGTTCATTTGTAAACTTCTTAATATTAACCAAGGTTCTATCCAATCAAATTTTACTTAACCACCTGATTTAAGTAGTCTGTACACCAAGCCTACTTAAAAAATCTACTGTACAGTCAAATTCAGTTCAGGTCACCTGCATAACACATGGTTTAGGATGTCAGATTCTAGAGTTGCAAGGTTAGGAGTTGATCTTTATGTCACAGGCTTAAATCCACTCGGGACATGGAGACTGGTCCTTCAGATGAGACCTACGAGGGGTTATCAAAAAGTTCGTGGACTGATGCGATAAAATTAATACTATGTAGTCTGTGCTTACAAAATTTATAAGAAACATAAAACAACAAAAATTTAAGAGATGTTGAAAATTTTAGCTCGATACGTTGATAAATTTCCAAATTATTCTAAAATAAAAAAGACATTATATGATCTCCCGGCGCTGTCGCCGTTTAGTTTCATGACGTCCGACAACGTCATTGTTTCTCATTGTCAGCTCTCTCTACCTCATACACTTATCTTGATGAGATTACCTGGAGTTAAGTAAGGACTTAAGCCCGTCTTGTTTATATGACTTTATAATGTCATGAACAGCTGCTTTCAATGCATATAATATTGTAAATGGATCTATACAAAGGGGAAGATCCTCACTGATTATGCCAGAATACTTAATTTGTTGGTGTTCAAATTCTACCACACATGATCAACGTCACTTTTCGACGTGACTGACTTTTGACACCCTGACTGCAAATCGACATTAACTGTGCATCTTTCATCTCTCTGAATCGTTTTAGGGCATTTAAAAACAAATACTCTGGATGCATTTTATTTCTCTTTTGTCCGATTTAACATTCCTTAGGTCTATACCAGTTTTTCCAGCTTCGAAACTTTATAGAATGCTGGAAAAAGAAACCCCTCCCCCTTTTTGACGTCATTTTCAAGCCTTAATTTATTGGACACTCCATATAAAATTTACGATAAAATTTCATAGAACGTACAGAATGAGGTAAATATTGCAAATTTTACAGAACAATTGTTTTGAACCACATGTCTGAAATAACAGGATTTTTTGATGACAAATACTCATATCAAAAGAGTTTTTTTTTTTCAGATACACTCAGGTAGAAAAAACGTCATATTTGAGGTTGTGCCGCCTGGACATATCATTGCTTACAAAAACATAAAAAATCTATTTAAAAAATAAAACTTATGATTTATGGTTTATTCTTTAGATAGAAAAGATGATGCTAACTATATGTTTGAAAATTCATTAATGTACATAAAGCGGTTTTAATCTTATGGCGCTAGTCCACGAACTTTTTGATAACCCTTCATAAATAGCCGACATACTTTGTCACAGTACATGTAGGTGCTGCACGAAAAAGAACCCTCACTGCGAAATAGCCATAAGTACCAAGAACAGGTCTTAATTTACAGCCCTCCACCTTGGTGGCATCCCAACATGAGTGAAAAATTCTCTTAAGGGATGAAAAGCAAACAAGTAACCAACCAACCAGTCCAATCAGTCCAATTAGTCCAATCAGTGATGTACTGAATAACATGACCTCCTGTCTTATTAATCCAGAAATAATCCTCCATAGGATTTTTTCATATTTGACCTGTATGGAGTGACAAGGGGAAGATTTCATCCCTTTCAGTCATCCAACCATTCAGAGTCAAATATTGAATTTTAAAGTTGATGGAAGATATAAAATAATCTGGGATTTTGATGCTTTGTAAATAATGAATTACAATGTAATGTCTGTTTTATTTCTTCACAGGGGAGGCCAGTAAACAGATACACGAATACAAATTAAAATTACAGAAAGCGGAGCAGGACATCACCAACTTAGAAGGAACGGTATGTATAGGAATTAATTCAGGGTTAGGGCCATCAATGTTGAAATCTTAGTGTTGTCTGTCCGTCTCTTCACACAAATATGTGATGCAAAGCAACAATTATATTTTTACTTGGTGACTGCATATTCAAAATACAGCTGATATAAAATGTATGTTTGTTTATTGTTTAGGTGACAAGGTTAGAGACACAAGTCAAACGTTACAGAACTGAGTCAGAGGAATCAGAAAAACTGGAAGATGAGTTAAAAACAGAGAAGAGGAAATTACAAAGAGAGGTACTGTATATGTGCTTAAATCTGCTTGACTTAAATTTTGCTTATTTTTTCTTAACACCTGTTTGCTGGAGTTTGAATTTAAGGTGAAAAAACACAAGTTTATGCATGTAACCCCCTCCCTCACACACACAAACAAACACAGTTTTGTAAATTACATTATATTCATTATAACTTTATTTATGCATAATTTCTTGTGATAATCTGGATATGAACTTTCCTTCCTGAAAGGTTGTCATCTTCATGTTTCTCATATTCTCATCCACATCTTCATACTTGATCTGTTCGTTTTTATTTTTTTAGCTCCGGGAGGCACAAACACGAGTGGAAGAATTGACAAACCAAAATAAACATTTACAAAATAGAATAGAAAAAATGAAACAAGCACGAGCTTTAGCTAGCCAATAGCCCAGAGCCTCCAGGTTCTGATAGTTTCTTTTAATTGAGAGTGTTTCTCGTCGTGGCTAGTCTCACTCGATACAGGACCCTCATCCACAAGGAAGACATGCTAGCCCGAGTTGCCTTTGCCAGAATTGTGATCTTGTTCATGTAAACTTTTAACAATATTGCCCTGTGATTGGAGTGAAGAAAGAGTCTCAAAGACCTGGATTGTTTTAACTGTTGTTCCAAAGTACACTTTGTCATTAACTGATTCTATTTCTCATATTCTCATCCACACCTATTGTGTAATCAGTTTTATCACGTCATTGCTAATACCTTAAGAATTTATTTCTGTATCATTCACTTTAAAAGTGGAAAGCTGTTAGACTGTTACTTTTATTGTATTTTACCTAAGTATAGACATATTCACAATACTGGTACATATTCATAATGGGCTTGATCCTGTAATATTTATAATTCTTTGATATTTATTTTTCTTTTGATATGAGTTGAGTAAGGTAAAACTGTATCCTGTTCAGTATGTAGAAGTGATAGATAGGTAAATGCCAGTCTTTTTTTTTCAACATATTGTACAAAGCTTTATTTTTTCAGCACAAAGATAGAAACTCAAAAATTAGAAATTCAGTGATGGATTTTGAATACATGTTAATACGTTAACATATTCAGTTTACAATTGTAAGAACTCTTTGCTGGTGCAGTTAACTTAATTTTCCTATTAATTTTAATTGAATTTCTAATTTAAATTATAAATGAGATGCAGATTGCAGAATTTGTATGTTTGTGGGAGTCCTTCTTTGAGTTTGTATATTATGTATTGCGTTATTGATATAAATAGATACTGCTTCTTTGTGCAATAGTGCAGAGTTTTTTTTTCTGACAATAATCTAGAAGGCAATAATCACATATTTAAATTCTTTGAAAGCTAGGGTTTCTTTAACTGTATTCGTAATGTTTGATTTGAGGATCTTCCATTTTTTTGTTGCAGATTAATTTGTTGGAATATTGAAATGTTTGATAACTTGAGAGTGTTTTTAATGATAGAGATCATAGAATAATAAGAGAAAGGAACATAACTCCTTGTTTAATAGTTTCATCTATAGTAGCCATGTGTTATCTGTTTGTGTAGGGTCAGCCAGATATCTCAGAAAGTCTGGAGCAAGTTTACTGATAATTATACATACAATGAAATTTCTACCATCAATATCTTGAGTACCATATATTTGTCAAAGTGTATTAGAAGTCCGAACCACTAATTCATTGTGCTTTTAATCTAATTTATCTCAAATTCTCCCGTATCTTGAATTTTTTTTTTCTGAAGGTTGAGATAACAAGGTTTGGCTGTATATATGCATATATATACCTTTTTTTTTTGAGGCAACCACTGTGTCATGAAAAGTCATGTAATAATCTTTTAGAAAGATTATAGATTTACCCAACTTTAAAGTTGTATGATGTCAATATTTCACATAAACTTGGATGGTGGTTATATGGAATTTTTATGCAGTTTATGAAAGAATGTATTGCACAACAGAATATGTTGTCAATAAAGTCTCTGCTTTTTACCAAAATTTTTATCATTTATGTGTTCAATGCTTGAGAATTCTCAGTTAAAGGAGTTTGATACCTGTGTGCAATTTTCTAGATTAAGGAAAACTGTCACCATAAAGAAAGGTGTTGCCTTAAAACCTGGGTACACAATATTTTTTTTTAAAAAAAGGATCTGATTCAGTGAAATACGTGAATGAAACAAGGCTTAGAAAATGAAACAGTTTAACGAGTTTGATTCCTGTGTGTACTTTTCTAGATTAAACAAAGGTGTTGCCACAAAGAAAGGTGTTACCATAAAATATGGTTACAGAGTCTTCTTTTTTTTAAGTCTATAATTCCAGTAACAGTGGAAATACATTAATAAAACAAGACTTGGAAAATAACATACATATCTTTCTTTTGGGATATTTGGTGAACTTTAATATAAGTCTGTTACTTAATTGAATTTAAAATGTATAAGTACTGGGGAGAGCAATTCTTGAAAATTTCTTCAGTAAAACACACTTCTAGCGAAATGCCAATGACAGACGGTTTTGATTCTTAAAAATGTAATTCATAATATTCTAAGTTCATGATATATTTTAAAACTACAGGAATTGAAAATCACTTTACTGTTAGCATGAGTTAATAAGTGGGATTGCTTTAATAGTATTTTTACTGTTTGCAGTTCATATAGACGTGAAGTTTTTCCACAACCAGCTTCTGATCTCAAATACTGAAGCTTTTAAGACTTTTTCCACAAACCCTTTAGATGGTGGAAAATGACTTTCAGGTCGATTGAAGATGAAGGCTGAACTTTGTTCTTATGTCCCTGTTAATGGAATCACAGCTTAAGTGAAACAGGCATTAGAAAGACTAAATGAAAATGTGTTGTGGTTCCAGCTGATATAAAGTTTTAAACAATATATAGTCTTAGTTTTAAGGCTCATTGTTACAGCCTCATTTTAATTCCGTATCTGGTTATGCTCATGATTCCCTTAAAATGGATGAAATTCTTCAAAATCACCTTTCAATTTAGAACTACCTTTAACATTCAAATCTGATTTACCATTCCTAAATGGATTCCAAAACTTCATAAAAATACAAAGATTTTTTGCAGGGGCCAATAAATGTTTAACCAAGCCCCTGTCCATATTCCTTACCAAAATATTCACTGCTCTGAAGGAGAAACTTCAGACACACTGTACTACAGCATATCCAAGAAGTGGCGTAAATTAAATGTGGGTTCTCAATTTAATTTGAAATCTTTAAAAATGAAACACGTCTGCCCAAATACGACCCAATGATACGTTATACAATCATGTATTTGTAACAAGTCATGATTATGACCTTAGAATTTGCAAAAAGCTGACTTTAAACGGGTTGTAACAATTCTCGTAACATCAACGTATTTGTCAGTAGATTGCCTCGGTTTAAAAGTTAATCGTATTCAGAGCATGCTCTTACTCAAATTAGTTGGGTAACATAAACGCAATATGCAGGTGGTGTTGGAATATTGGTACATGAGTAAGGAAAGTTAACGATAGAAAAGCTGAAGTCATCGTATTATTTGTCATACAGTTTAGTTATTAGTTTGCCACTTTCGTGTATTGTCTGTAAAACATCCAAATATGAAAAAAAGATGTGGCAGACTCTGCAATGCATGTCTTTTATTTCGAGTTCACGGGAATATATCGAGTCGACATATGTTGAAGGCATTGGTAAGTGTTTTCTTCTCATGAAGAAGTTTTTTAAAAATAAATTCTGCTTTATCTGGAATTGCAACAGATTGTTGGAAGACCTTTTCTTCACAGTCTACATATAGATATTGTCAATGAGGTACTCCAGCATCTTTTTAATATTAACTTCAGATTAATTTTTTAACAAAGTAATTTCGTAGATAATTTAAAAATTAACGAGTTTTTACGATTTTAATTGAGGAAGTCAGTGTCCATATGATGTCAAAAAGCCTGTTCTTTATCTTGAGAAATGGTTGTATAAAGCGTAGAAAATTTGTATCTTTTTATGCTTTTGATGTTTGAAAAAAGTTTTGAGATTTTAAATTTTCCAAATGTTCTTTGGAATTTTTTAGAAACCACATTTAATTTACACCAATTCTTTAATATTTTGTAAAACAATATGTCTGAAGTTTCTTCTTCACAGCAGATAAATGTTTTGGTGAAGAATAAGGACGGGAGCTTGGTTGAACATTTACTGTACCCTGCAACACACTTTGTATGGATTTTTATGACGTTTTGGAATTCGTATAGGTAAGGTAAATCAAACTCAGTTCAATTGATTGGAATTTTTAAAGTATTTAAAATTGAGTAAAGGTTGGATAATCAGATGTGGAAATAAATCCGTGTTCTAAAGAGTTGTTCAAATGAGCCTTACAAACAAAGACTATATTGTTATAAGCTTTTTCAGCTAGAACCATAACATATTTTTCCTAAATCTTTTATCACTTCCGGTCTACTGAAAACGGGGATACTGTAAACCAACTAAAATTTGCGTCATCTTATTAATTAATTTTTGCGACAGAAGAAACATTCCCTACAAATACAAAGCAAAATTATAAATTGGTTTGCGGCAATTAATATTTGCAAGTTAAAGTAGGTCGCAAAACTCGAGGATATTTCTCGCAAGCGAATAAAAGTTGGTTAACAGTACCTAGAAATACGAGACGAACACCTCATATAGTTCATACCTAGACAATCAGATAAAAAAGAAAGACTAAACACATACAAAAACAGTTTATACATAGATAATCAGATATAAATATAAACAATTAATACACAAACAGAAACAGTTTATACATAGACAATCAGATATAAGATAATCTATACACATACAAAAACGGTTTATACATTGACAACTTGATATACACATACAAAAACAGTTTATTTAGTGACTATAAAGCCCCCCTTTTTAACCTGAAAACTAATAAGAAACATTGTCCTATGAACCTGGCCTCAACCATACTTGAAATAAAAACAACATTTAATTGTGTGAGACCAAATAATGATGCAGTTTGGTAATCGCTCTTTAATTTTTGCTAAATTAGCTTTTATCATCATTTGTATACCTCTCAAAGTGTTGTGTTGTTGTCCAATGTTGTTCCCCCCACAGTGAATAATAATGATATCTGGGGCTTTGTTACTAACTAATAAAAAGTCTAACGTAGGGTTTAATTGCTCCCACACCATTCCGCGAATTCCATGCCACAATACTGAGTATTTTTGCTTGGCCTAATCCCAGGTCCGATTGATTGGATTTGACTGCATAGCTATGTGCCCAATGTACAATGGAAGATCCTATAACCCAAATGGCCATTGTAGAAAATGAATGCAAGTAAATAAATCAAACTTTAACATAGTTACCCATCTATAAACCTATACATATGTATCTAAGCATTTAAAGGACGAATGTATGATTTGTATGCTGTCGATTTCGATCTACCCATTTTTTTAATTTCCCCCTCAGACAACCCTTCCAAATATAAGTGAGTAGCACCCCCAATGCGAAATGAGTGTGTTTTGTAATTTGAAGTTTTAATATCTAGGAATTTTAAGGATTTATGTAACATGCTAGAAAACTGAAACTGTGTCAATGGCTTCGAGCTAAAATGGGCAAAATATGAATCCCTATCAATTTTACTAGACAGCAAGGAAAACTCTTTCAATAAATTTACTAGCAGTATCCTTTCTGAAGTGTAAGGCACCCAAACTGAAGCCCCAGAACCTAGTTGGTCAGTTTTAGAACTTTTTATGAACACCGATATGCCACTGTCTAAAATCTGAACATCATCCTTTCTTAGATCTATGACTTCACTTACTCTCAACAATGCAAAGAATGCTAAGGTAAAAGATGACTGAAATAAAACTGCTTCCTATGTTGAGAAGGCAAATGTGGAATTGCACTTATTAATCTGTGCAACAATGCTAATGTGATAGGTCTACGCATATCACAAGATAAAGATGACTTTTTGTACCCTGCCAACAATTTCTTCACCAAAAAAGACTCCAACGGATTTTTCCAACCATTTAAATTAAAAAACTTATCCCTGACATGTAACATTTGACTGTAGAAAACGAACATCCCTCCTCAGACAAATAAGCTATGAAATTTAAAATATGGTCAAGAGGTGGAGGCCAGGTTTGCTGAAATTCACATTTGACTCTGAAATTATAAAAACTCTGTAGTCCTTGTTTATAACTTTACCAGTATTTTCTGATATACTAGCTTGCAAAAGTTTGTTTATAGTTTCTCCATAATTTCCCAAAATTGCTTTGGTACCGTAGAGGGATACTGATCTGCCGAAGGGGCTAACTGCCTGAACCTGGACCACTGAAATCGAGAAATTTGCAACAGCCACATTATTCTTCACACCCTCGATATGCTGCGCTTTAATTTGAATATTAAATTGGAGAGTTTTCAGGACTAAGAAACGAAGCAACACCATGACTTTTTTTTTGATGTTTTTTGATTGATAATCTGCACTAATGCCATATTGTCTACATGAAGCAGTAGTTTCAGATTTTTAAGTTTAGATGACCAAATACTAATCCCTAATACTATGGGGACAAGCTCCAATAATGTTATATCCCTAATTATGTCTGAAGACCAATATGTAGGCCAGGATAAACAAGACCAATGATTTCCAAAAACTACCCCACAGCCATATGCTCCTGAACAATCAGTAAAAAATTCTAAAAATTCACTGTCATGCCAAAGTTGAGAAGGAAAGGGCGTGGTACCATTAAAGTTGAGCAAAAATTGAACCCACATTTGGAGGTCCATTTTTATTTCATTTGTAATTCTTATGAAATGAAATGGTTTTTTAACTCCCTCCATAGCCCCATAGATCCTACGAGAAAAAGCCCTTCCTGCTGGTAATGCCTTAACTACAAATGCCAATGCTCCTACAAGAGATTGCAACTGCTTGAGTGTTACCTTTTTTACAATTTAAAACATTTTGTATTTTTGACAATAATTCCCTTATTTTGTCATCTGGAATAAAAATTGTTTGTGATAAAGTGTC